TTTACATAAAACATTTAGTTGTAACAAAGATGAATGATGAAAATTCATAAAAAGTAACGGCTATTTATTGAAAACTCTTGGATTGAAAATAAAATTAGTTTCAATTAGAGAAATGGTAAATACGTACCTAATACATTATATACCTCTTTTTTGAGAGATATTCCGATTCAATAACATGAACTATAGAAAGAGTTTTCAATAACATTTATGTATTTCTTATGTTTCGTATTGTTTTCATTTGGATTATAAATTCATGGATATAGAAACCCAATCCATCGTACTCATGTTTTGCTGTGATTTCGTGGTTGGAGGTGGGGGGAGAACACGACAAATAAGCCCTACATGTATAACACTAAAATGTTCAGTTTTAGTTACTTTGAATTTATAGGTGTAAATAGTGTAACTAATCGGTTGGTGGATTATTTTACCTCTTTGCTTGCCTGTGTCACATTTCGTCTGTCAATCAGGGAATGAATTAGTCTTTGTGTAAACCAATAGTGAGTACCTATCCAACAGTTAAATGGAATGTTTTTAATAACTGCTTTACATAATTTTTCAAGCAGATCATCAAGTCCATTACACTTGTGTTACAAGACTTTGGTTTCAGATTACTAATACTTTGAGCTATGTTAAGTACCAAGTGATGATAGGGATAACTTTTCAAAATACTATAAAATATAAAAAGATTTATTCTTTTAGAATACATTTTAATGCATATAAATTATCTTGGAAGTACAGTGTAGGATAAGTAAACTCCTCTTGTTGAGAAGAAAAGAGATTTCTCTTGAGGTTCTACAATTATTTATTCAAATTGATAATCCAAAAAATTGGCCAGGTTTAAGGCCTAGGGTTATTTGTAATATAAAATAAAATCGTTAATGTTGAGATAACTAATGAAACGAGCTAAACTCGAGCTGTTAACCGTTCAAAATATATCGTTACTCAATCACACTTGGAGATTCTCACAAGCCCGAAAATGCGAATTCTTAGAACACCTGCCAACATAACTTCGTACACAAAAGCAGTTGAAATGATAGATACACAAAGAAGTGGCTAGTCTAGGTCATTTATCTTTAAATTTTAGAGCCCATATACGAGGGCTTTTGGTTCACAATTAGGCATTCCTTACTCTTTCTTCCTTAATCAAATGGTTATTTACAAATTTCTCTGGGAATCCATTTTCTTTCAGGGTAATTTAGAGGAATACAACTAAGAAAACTTGTATATTGATTAGTTTCTTCTTAGCGACCCATAAATCCTCCTTGTAGGTTGAACATCTAGAAAGGCTATTCTACCTCTATTTTCTTCCTCATATATGAACTTTATGGACGAATGAACTTCATTAAATCTCTCAAGTGTTTCTATCAGGTCAGTATGGTCGTTAGAAAGGATGGACATATCGTCCACATCTCGTCAGCAAAATGAAAATTTATCGATGTGCCATTCCAGTTTACCATTTTCTAGTTTAGTGGGGAAAAAATGTCCAGAAGTCAATATAGGACCTTGTGTTGAACTTAACGCGACACCATTTATTTGTCTATATATTTCACTATTGAACTTGAAGTTCACCTTCATAGTGCATTTTAGTAATATTTTCTTGATGATCTCCATAGGGATTGTAGTCTCTGTTTCCTGTTCTCTGAGTTGTTTAAAGATATATTTTACAGTCTACCTGAGAGGACATTTATAAACAATGATTTTACGTCTAAGGAAATCACCCTTTGTCCTTTGATGTTTATAGTTTTGATCTTGTCGACGAACTGGAATACATACATAATAGTATGCTTCATTAGGTGTTTGCGGAATGGTTTTAGAGCGGTTACTAACCAATTTGCTACAGTATGATAAGGGGAATTTTGCGCGTCCAAAATTAGTCTCCATGGAATATCGGGTTTGTAAATGGGTACCTATCGACCTAATTGTTTCGTAAATGTCTGATGAAATAACCTGTTGATCTCTGAGCTTTTTTAAAGATCTGGTCAGTTCATTCCCTATCTTATCACTGACGTCATTTTCATCATTCCCTTTCTGCAATTTCGGATGATCAGTTAAGATGTTATTCATCATGTCAATATAGATTTTGTTGTTCATTAGGTTAGTTCCTGTTTTTTTATCAGGTTTCGTAATAACCAAATTTTTTGTCATTATTAAGTTCATCGATAGCCTCCTTATGTTTTTTGGTTAAAATGCTTCTGTGGTTCTATCTACTATTCCTAAACTGATATTTTTATTAGAAACAATCCTAAATTCACATGTTGTTACTATAAATGATATACTTTGCATTAAACCTAATCATTCTTTTGGATTATCAATTTCTTCGTTCATATATCTGTGTTGTATAATGTTGGGAATTTTTAGCGAAAAAAAGATTTTTACAAAATATTGTCATAGAAGTGGTACAAGCAGTAGATTAACAATCATTTTCTGTAACCCACAACCTGATAGTATTCCTTCACTAGTAACTTATAAATATTTTTTATGCTTAAGATGTTTACACTGTTTTGTGACTCATTAAATTCAATTCGTATGTGTGGATTCCTTGTGTTAATCTTCTAAATGATACTTCTGATTTGTTTATTCATTATTGGTTGTGAATGTTGTTAACAATCTATCTCAATGTTTAATAAATTCTTGATATTACTAAGTATGAACTAACAATACGTTCCACATGGCTATGAACATCTCCTTAAGCAATGTCATTCTTATTCTGTACATAGTATCAAATCTTTTTGGTCGTGTATTGTCTACCTTAACATCCAATTCCATAATCATGTGATCCGTAAATACGTATTTGGAGTTCAACCAACGTGTACATATACACTCACATTTTTCCATTTTGTAAATGTTTTTTACGTATTATGATTCAAATCTTTCTTACTATCCAAAAGACATCAATGTCTAAATATGATTGGATGAGCCTTTAATGTGGATTTGTTTTCAGACTTTGGATGTTCATCGATACTTTTATTTCTGATTGTAACTCTGCTCAGACAAGCTTTTTGGATAAAACATTGTAGGTATTTGGATTTCAATCTCTAAAACTATTTGAAATATAATTGTTGCATAAGATTAATATCAATTATGATGAATAATTTTATTTTCTACTTGTTATATATCGAGATGTACAAAATTCATTTTGGATTCCACCGACAGTAATTTATAAATCTAATTAACTGAAGCATATCTTACCAACATCTATTTTGAGCGGTCAACTTCAAACTAAACTAAAAGTAATAAATGTCTTTTCTTTTTCAATGCAGTAGAAAATAAACATGACTCTTTTAATCATCTTATCGATAAACTATAAATCTTTATCGTCGTGGTTATTGAACATTATTATTGTGATTAAAGTAATTTTTTGTGACCATATTTCGTTGGTCTATTTTGTCATGATAACAAAAATTAAATAGCAATGATAATTACAAGTAGAAATGTGAGTGTTTTCTTTGTTACCTAGTTGATTCAATATTTAATTGTTATAGCTTGAGGTACGATGTTTTCCTCAAGTATTACCATTGTATATTTCATTATAAAGAGGCAAATAACATTATGGTAGTTAAAATTTAATATTGTTTCGACTACGATTCACTGATGTTATGGAACGTTTTTTGACTCATAACTGTACTATTCAGATAACCATCTTTGGGAAATGTACTTTGTACACTAACCAACTACCCAGTTGTTTAGTTCATTAGTCAAGTTGCTAGGTTGTCACTGGTTTGAGTAGTTCAACATCAAAACTTTTATTTTGATTTCAGTTGCTTGTTGAGACTGACAAGTATTTGGCTGTTTAAAGTAAATGTTTTCTTCCTACAAAATTTAAACAAGTGTCACTCAGTCGCAAAGTTTTATAAATCACCACTAAGCTAATAGACAATAATTACATTTTTTCGCTTTATGACGTCACATGTAAAATGTTAGAGAAAAATTATGTAAGCTCCATTAAAATAGCTTTCGATGCAATCTGATAATACGTAATCAGTTTTATGATTTACTAATGGATTTACAATATTTTAAAATTACATGGAAAATCTAATTCACCAATGTCATATTAGACACTAGTCAAAATGTTGACAGTATGATCTGAATGTCAAATGAAGTTGATATTTTTTTCAATGTTCCAAATTTGTTTCTCTATTAATGGATGCTAACATTCCATAAATTCTTAAATTAGAAAACGACTTTTGCTAATAAACCGGTATAATTCAAGTTGAATCTACGCTTTCTGTAATCAATTGTATTTCTGTTTTTACGTTGTCTCAAAATTAGCTAAATGTTCATAAAAATGAATCATTTCGTAGTACATAATTTTATATAAATAGTCAGATGATTTAGTTGTTATGACGCTACCTTTAACTTTACGTCGATAATTTCAATTTTTATCTTCACCACTATTATTACGACGACAAAGTTCTATAAAGGATGAATGTACTTCTCAGATTTTGATACTAACCATTACTAAACTAGTCAAACATAACCAAATGAAGAAAAGGTGATTAAGTAATTTTGAACAGTTACATTTGTTGTAAATCTAAGGGTATAGTTTCATTTGCCAAAAGACTTGAGCGATCCCCCCCAGCTGCAAACACTTCTATATTTTGACTAGCTTCATTTTATAGTATTTAGGACTTTCAAAGCAAAAACGAGTTTATTTTTTTACTGTATCACTGTATTTTAGACATGTTACAATAATGTACAAGTTGAAATGTATGTAAATACCAATATCAAGATTGTAATAATTTGACAAAACTCCGAAAGTAACTAACTGGTGTCTCAAAATTTACATAAAATGTAATTTTAGGAAGACATATCATAAATTCAATCTAAAATCAAATAATAGTAAAGGGAAGAAGTGGACATTAATTAAGTTAGAAAATAAATAAAACAGATAATGAAGGAATGTATGAAAGGAAATGTTCCATACCAAATATTCTAGTCAAGTGATTGAACTAATATTACCTATAGTTCATTCAGTCACTACTACTACAGAAAAATAAACACTACGCATAACCATTGCACTTTTGTTTTGATAACGGAGTATATGTTTCATTTAGTAAATCAGAATTACATTCATTTCTATTTAAACTGCTTGAATAGTGAAGATACTTATCCTGACTGCAACTTATATTTCCACGGTTACCGGTATCATGTGTAGCTATAAAGTTATTTTGAACTGAGTCCTTAAAATCATTTATTAATAATTCATTCTTAAATTCTGTATTACTGTTAGGAAACGAACTCTCTGTGAGTATATTTGCTGTATTTATATTGAAATATGTATTTGATGAAGAAAATGATGTGTACATTTTATATGATGAAGTTCTTGAAATCTGTGATATGTTATTATTCCCAGAAGTATTATTGTTACTTTTCGTAGTTAAACTAATATCATATGATTTAGGTAATAAACAGTATGCGAGATCATCATTAAGTGAAAATGCTAAAGAACCATTATCATTTTTTAATTGATTAATGTTCAGCTGTTCAATTCTTTTATTTGTTTGAAGATATGAATCGATAAAGTGATTAATTTCTACACAAATTGAACTAAAATCTGGTCTTTGGTCTGGATTACTATGCCAACATGAAGTCATTATTTGATATATATCAGAAGGACATATATTTGGTGATGGCAAACGGTAACCTTTCTCTAGCATTGCAATTACAGCCTGATTTGTCCAGTTCCAATAAGGTCTTTCACCTAAACTAAATAACTCCCAAGCGACGATACCAAATGACCATATATCACTGGCAAATGTGATTTTCCTGTACATTATAGCTTCGGGAGCCGTCCAACGTATGGGAACTTTACCTCCCTTGAAATAATAAAACAAAAATCATTCCAGATATTTGAGATGAAATAAATGCAGATTAAAATGACTCATTTTTTATTTCATATTTGCAAAATTAATATTCGTTGAATTATAATTCGCAACTATCATCAGGTATGACTTTAAGCAGAAATCAAACTACTGTTACAAAAGATAGTAGCTAACTACTTCATAAAATAGTCAAATTAAACAAGAGTTAATGCGGGTTATCCAAACTTAAAAACGTTTTCTAAATTTACAAATGATATTATATAGCTAAACATACAGGGTCATCCTCAATGTGTAACTTCATCTATTGTAATCTAGCTCCAGGTAATGTTAGACACATATGATGCAACTCCACACCTAGTAAGCTTTGCATTAGTTGGAAGAGTAGATTAGGCCAGTAATTTCTATGATTAACTGCAGTAAAAACTAGTTGAAAGCCAACTTTCTCATTTTGGTAATTTTGTGATAATCAGTAAGTACATAGGGTTTGTATGTACTTACACAAGAAAAATATGTATTCAGATGATTTTTGAGGTTGAGTGTTGACGTCAGTTATAAAATAAAGGACATTGCTATTTCTACGTTATTGAGTTCTCCAGTAAAATTCAATACTCCTGCAACAAATCATTAATCATTTATTTAATTTTCATCTAAACAACAACCACTAATCCTATAGTTCAGAAATGTTCAAAACATTCGCTCTTCTGATGAGGTGATATTATCGCCTCAATCATCAAACGAAGATGTTTTACAATTTAAATTGCTCAGTTGTAGAAAAAGTTGTTTAAATGATTCTTTCTCACTATAAACCATCCAATAAAAGTCGGGTTTCGTGAATATGATTGAGAAAAGTTAATAGAAAGTTATACGCCGCTTGCTCATTACGTACCATTATGATACTTTTAGTTTTAACTGTCTCATAATGTCCTAGTCTTTCATTAGGTGAAAGCGTTGACTAACCATTTTCTCTGTTTGAAAATCAACGTTTTCATTTAACCTTTACCTTATCCAAAAGTCACACTTTCCAATTACTTCAAGAAGTGTAGTTTCATTACTAATCGTTCGGTAAATTGGTATGGAAAACGATATCCTGTAATTTATATAGAACGACTTCGCTGCTATCATGTATTTGGTCTATTCATATATATCAACTCTGAATATATCAGAAACGCTTGGTTATAGAAATAGTCTTCGTATATTGGTCTGTGATCTCCAAACAATTAAAGGAAGTTGGTAATTCAACTCATGGTGGTTGTGAGGACATAAACATCAAACACGAAGTCAACAGATAATGCATTATTATTCTTAATAGTAAGCAAGTTATTTGTCTGTTAGAAAACAGATTCTAAAGAAGACTAGGTTTTAGTTAAGACAATCAAGTTTTGAAAGATATCAGTGCTCTTATTAATAGAAACAATGATCGTAAAGTTGTTTTAATTTGCTTACCATTACTAATCTTAAAATCAGCCTAGATAACAGAAAAAACTATTTAGTCAAAGTCCTGAGTCTACAGTATAATACAGAAACGATTCTTCTATTTTCCTATCTACGAAAATAAGTTTTACAATTTACCGATTTATATTAAGATTGACTTAACAGACATTATCGTTCCAACAATTTTAGTATAGTCAAGGCAATAAGTAGCTAGAAAAATTTATATTCAAGTATTATTGCATTTAAATCCACTACATTTGGACGAACTGCAATTGTATATGAAATTATGAATATTTCATACCAGAACAATTATAATGAAAGGATTTACTAAAAGATGTAAAGTTCGTACATATCTTAACAGTTAAGATGGAAGCTATTAGTTCAAAATTACTGTTTCAGCAGAAATATTTCCCATTCTATTATTTGATCATTACCAAATATGACTTACAGTGAACGTATATGCATCTTCATCAGAATCTGAATTACATTTTCGCGTCAAACCAAAGTCAGACACTTTACAAATGTTAAACTTATCAACAAGTATATTACGGGCTGCCAAATCCTAAACCAGAAATGAAATAAATAGATACAGCTAGAATTCAATAGGCAATGAAATTACTAAAAACAATTTAAATCAAATACGAATCTGTTTCAAGTGTGATTTCATAGTCTAAATTTAACAAACTGAACATTTTTTTAAACAATTGTTAATAATCAAAGATGGATGGTGACTAGCAGTGGAATCCAGGACGCGCGTTTCGTCCTATTTAAGACTCTTCATGTGGATGTACATGCATCTCAGAGTTGATTTTCACTCTGGGACTCGGACACAGTGCCGTTCTCTTCGAATGCCATCACGTTATCCACTTAGCTACTAAGTCCTGATAGGCAATATCGAGGCAATATGCATAGTATCCACATATGCTAATGTGAGTCCGATCGATTGCAGTCCTAAACATTATTGGAAAGATTCGTGCAAACAATACCAGGTGAATTTAAGCTTCACTCCATTGCACAAGCAAATGGATAACTGGAATTAGTAACTAAGTGGATAACACGATGCCGTTTGAAGCGAACGCTACTGGGTTCGAGTCCCAGAGTGAACATCAACTCTCAGTTACAAGCACATCCAGATGACGAGTCCTAAATAGGAAGAAACCCGCGTCCTGGATTCCACTGCTAGCCACTATCCATCTTTACTTATAATGCTTGTAAATTAAGGTAATATCGAGGCAATACGCACAGTATGCACATATGCCATTGAGAGACTGATCACTTTCAGTCGCAAACATCAGTGGGAAGATCCAAATAAACAATACCGAATGAATTATCAATAATATTCCACATTTCATTTAAGAATTCCATTAGGATAATTATATAACTGTCTAAAGAATTAATTTGACGGAAATTTTTCTATACTGACATCAATTAACATTTTTTTTTGAATACTTTGACACTGATAAGTCTAATTTAACAATGAATGGTAATTAGTTTACAGATGCATTATAATGAGAGATTTAAGTAATAAGGACTAAATATTGGATAATTGAAACAATTTACTCTCAGAGTAAACTTAAATTTTTTTTCCAGATTATTACAACATCAAACTACTAAAAATAATTATGACATTAAAGTATGCAGTACAAAATTAATAAACTGATAATTAGTTCAGTCAACTTACTCTATGAACAAAGTTAAGATGAGAAAGATAATTCATACCACATGCAACATCTCTCAACATATACAATAATTGTTCCATGGATAGTGTATTTCCGTTGCGCTAAAAAATCAAAGAAAGTAAAATAAACAACATTTACAAAACTTTCAGGAAGAATCAATTAATCTAATTAGATTTTACATTCATATCATACATAGATATTCTTGTGCTTCATTGATCAAAGTTACAAAACTTTTTTGGATAAATAAATAAATGTTTGTAATAATTGATGAAGTAATAAATAAATTCATGATTAATGTATCCAACTAAAAAAACATTTTAATTATACATAACAATCTTCATTTATCTTCATTGTTGACAAGTGGGAATGAAACCAGTACTACACACTCATAAAACGATAAATCTATTAAACAAGAACAAAGTATTTTGTAAACTCCTGATTACAACAACAAGGAATGCAAAATTAATTGATGCAGAATTACAGAAACTGTTTGTAAGAATCAGGTTAATACAGACAATATAGTATTTCAATGTTTTTTACGTAGCACTAGTAACTATGAATTCCATAGGACTAAGCATAACAACTGGCAATGACAGTTTTGACTATATTGGCGACTTTGAGAATGTTTATAAATTTTATGTAATTATTCCACCCAAATCATTTCATGGAATTAGTTGAGTAAAATAATATTAAAGTAAAAATAGACAACGAGGAAATTGTTTGGTTCATTGAATAATCAATAAAAAATAACAGTTGATATTAGTTTTACCAAGCGACATGAATAACATTTAGAAATTTTCATACATGAATCACACCAGAACAACTGGTTAATTGTACAACCTGCATTAAAGCGGAACCTCCCACGATGAACCTGTCTGATCATTTCAGACATCAAATGCAGTAAAAACTGCACTGATTAATTGTTAATTATTATCAGTAAGTGAGTTTGTGGAGATTATAGTAATTTTAAGGTAGAATTCGTGAGTCGACTAAAGCTAGACTGGCATGGAAAACCTGGACGCACTGGAAGGCCGTCTCGTCATATTATGGGTCTCCTCAGAAGTGCACATCCACGATCCTGAACACGGGATTCTAACCCGGGATCTTCACTCTCGCAGGTGAACGCTTAATCTCTAACCCACTGAGCCGGCACCCAATGCCGTTAGTGTCTAACTTTAACCAGTCCACGAAGTTGAGCCACTGTCCACTATTGTCTTCAGTGAATAATTGTCTCACGATAGACACAGTTGAATTCCACTGGTCACGGCTTCTCGCTAGAACTCCAGGAAATACCTCTTGAAGCCAATGACTAGTGAACACATGATGATTATTATCAGAATGGGGATCGTAGAGACTGCGGCAGTTTAATAGTTGAATTCGTGAGATGGTTGTTGATGCGCACTGCTGAAGAGTTCCATACTAGGACAAAACGGCCGTCCAATGCTACAAAGTTTTCCATGGTGGTCTTTGATCGACTCATGAATTCAAATAAACGTTAATTGGCTTTAATTACAAAGATTAATTCAGTTTAGACACAAATTTTCATCTTGTTACCCTGTCTTTTAAATACACGTACCAATAATATTTATGTAAACAAACTTACTTATAAAAACAAAAACCATAACCATATGAATATATTATAAAAGATAGTAGTTGATTGCAAGTCTATGAATCAGATGAAAATTTAGGGTAAAATAATCATTTATATTCATTAGCTAATTCATTCAATTTATGTGTTTGGTTTTATGGTCATGATGATTGACTCATTATTATTACTGATCTTTTATGTGAATAAAACGTTCTTTTAGTTAAACTTTGTATCATGAATAAAATTTCGCCTATCGTCATATAACACTTGGATTTCTGGCGTTAATTACAATGTTAAATAATGTTGTTTCATTTAAATGTTTTAAAATTATACCATTCGGTAGATGAAAGTCGACAGCTACCAAAGTCCAAGTAACAAAGTCAATCGCATTCAGTTAAAAATTATCAAAATATATGAGTTGTGGTCGTTAGTGCAATCAAGGATGTGCGTCTCGTCAAATTCGGCATTCGTCAGCAAGATGTTACGAAGTTATTGAAAAGGCATTTTTGTTTCATAAATAAACATTTCAACAATATATTGAAAAATGCATTAAGTTTTTCCTAAGTTCTTAGACAAAAAGTTTTAAATAGGCTTTCTCATCTCTTATGAGTATTATCTAGAAAGTCTTTGGTACTGGTTTAAAAACTATTCGTGAATGATGACAGAAAAATTTGTTACGAATTGAAGCGAAGGGATCCAGGTATTTGACGATTTATCTTATGGTCTGAAGTTGTAACGAAAAATAGATGGATTGGGTCGAATAAGTGTAGGATCAGTGAGTTGGTGAGTCGATTTATTAATGTTGTATACTATAGACAATTTCAGCAAGATGTATCCAGCCTTTATAGTATGATTCTTTAAGAATACATAAGAAAAATCTAAAGTTAATTTTATCACTTATAACTTCACTTAATATCCTTATATCTTGTCTTATATTTTAAAACATTCAACTTTAAAATGAATAATTTGTCTACAAAATGTAAATTGGAAAATTAGATCCAGAACAAGGGATGCATTTTTATCGGAATACTACTATGTGCAATAGCTTATAGTGTCCATGATAACGTACTTTAAGGGGATTCAGTAGATATGTGCTATGAATAAGCTTTCACTTTTCCTTCTATATGATTTCAAAAATGAATATTTTTTAAAAATCCCATCAATATCACATTCAATATTGGTGACGTAATGGCATTCTACCTATAGGCCACTGAACAAGTGTAATCTTATTGCCGAAGAAAGCCTGCTAAAATAAATTATTCCTTTAATATCAACACTGACATTATATAGGAGAAAGAATTAATAGTTCACAACCTAACTGGGTTTAGAAAAGTCGGTTATAAATTCAGCAGGGATATAAAACGTTTGAAATGTTATACACGGTAAGACTAATAGTTTCAGAATGTTACGAAATTGATGAAAAACGGTATTAAGGAAGAAAAATTGAAGTGATCTTGACAAGATTGTTTAGCTTGCTGAATGGAAGTTAACTTAAAACAAAATAAACATTTAGAAGGCAGTATTTGATACTTTAGATATTTAACCATAAAAGTTGATTACTGATTCGTATCTAAAAATAAATACAAAGGAGATACGGAATTTCATCTATCTGTTTCCTATGACTTGTACAACGTTACGTAAACTGGAATCGGTTGATCATTCTATGACCAATTTCTATAACATTTTTCTAATTTTTTCTGTGTTACATTATGCTAATGATGTAGATCTTGTCGTTTGAGGTATATCTATGTCTGTAAAGAGAAACAATTGTATAAAATATCGATCATTTTTCCCCAGTATTTATTTTTATATATTGTGTAACTTCTGGTGATTCCCACAGGTTAATATGTTACTTATATTCTCAAATGCACTTGTGTATAACACGTACATCATTTTTTAAAAATTGCATTATACTATAGTTGGCTTTAGATATGTCATTCTGTTTGTATATTCATTAGTATTTAATCAATCAGATAAAAATCATAATCGTTTGATCAGTTTCTCAGTTATAAAGCCGAAACTATATCATGTTACATTATTTGGGATCTGTCGGTGATTATATTATCAATGTTGTTATCCCATAGTAATTTAAACACTATTACATATATAAAATGTTTGTAATTTAAACATTTTCCTCAACTAGCAACTCAGTTTTTTTAATCAATACAAAATTATTATTTTAATATAATTACAGAGAACTTATTGAGTAATGTTTTGTGATAAACGTCAATAATAGATGATAGATACTACAAAGAGTATATTCAGTGATGTAATGGGTTCTTATATCAATTAAGATCTATTCTATAAAAAAAATCAAATGAAACGAAGAAGGTTTAGAAAAGAAATAGAAAGATCGAACTTTTCTTTAACAATATTATTATAGATTTTTATAAAAATTATTTAATTAATCTATGAACTTGAAGGTTATTAGATCAAATAGCACATTAAAAATCAATAAAAATTGTTGATCATAATTATTGAAATCAATATTTGATTATTTCAATGTCTTCTTCATTATTATTATTGATTGATTTGTTTTATTATTTTATTAAGATGAATATTATTAATCAATAAATGTTTATTTAAATATATTCGTTATTTATAGTGGCTTATTTAAGAAGTAAAGATTAAAAGGAAAATACTATTGATTTATTGATATTATGAATGGAATTATAATGAATATTTTGAAAAAGTCTATTTAACTAAGTCATTGATTACTTAATGTCAGTAATTTATTCTAAAGTAAATGGAATATATTGGATTCAATGACTGTTTTAAAATGTTTGTCGTCAAAATCAAGTGATATTCATTTTCAGCTTTAATTATTTTTTGTCATAAAATTTGGTTTGATTCCTTTTTATATCACGTTAACTGGAAGAAATTTATTCGATTTATATTTGTAAACTATGTTTAAAGTATATTTCTCGATGTTATTCAGGAGAATGATGAAAACTCTACGATCAAACCATCTAGCTTAGAGAATAAAACTTTATCGAAATCATCTACGTGAACTAGAAATCTCCATTGTCTTATAAAAACTATATCTTTTACACAAGGATTTATTTAAAAACAAATCAATTTTAACATTCCCCTACTCAATTCGATTTCTTGATGCTGAAGCAATCGGCTAATATGTCCAAAAGTAAATGAGTGTTTGCTCTGAAAAAAATTGGGCTAAATTTATGATTACCCAATGAAAATATTAAAATTTAAAAAAATATTAGTGATTAGTATAGGGTATATTAATTACTTACACGTAAATAATTATCCAGTGATCCATTTTCCATAAATTCAATAACTATCATTTTAGGTTCAGATTTAATGACTAATCCAATTAATTGAATAATATTTGGATGATCTAATTGACTTAATATATTAGCTTCTGTTAAAAAGTCTGACGAGTTTTTTCACTGACATCTGGATGTAACATTTTTATTGCAACAAGTTGAACTTTATCTTCATCAGTAGTTATAAAATCACCAGCACATACTTTACCAAACTCACCTGTGTATGTGGTAATTAAAAAAGACAGTTATCATGAGAAAATAGTCTCAATAACTTCCGTCTGATGACCTTAAATCTTACTACCAAATACAAAATGTTCAAAATGAACAAACTGTTAACGTTCATCAACCCGGAAACAATTCATGACAAAACAGAAATACATTAAAGTTCATGTGTTATGATTACAGTCAACCATTTATTGATGTTCAAGCCCTTTTTATCGTTTATAATGTTTAGTGTTATTATTATTAATGACTTTATTCAATATTATGTTTTTGCTACAACATAGAATTCTCAGCACAAAGTATTTCAACTAGTTCCCTTTTCATTTAATGATCGATCCTGACGACAAATATTGATTGATCACTAGTTAAATGTTAACAGTTCAGGAATCGACATCTGAATAATGTTCATTTTTTCTCAATTCGTATTGCCAGCAATCACAGTGTCACTGATTATACTTTTCTGCAACTTGTACAGAGAAAGGTCGTAAACGTTTTACAAACGCGCCTGAATATTTTATGCTATGAAGAGACATAAAAATGTTACATTGTTACAAGGCATACATGTTTTCCAAATTACAATTACTATGAAAATGTAAGGAAAATGTCATTGTTTGTTTTATGATGTGAGTACAGATTAATTTTTAATAGTAATTAAATGTTGATAAGAACTTAACAGAACTTGTGTTGAAAATTGGACGTTTTCAAATAACAACATTATTGGACATTCAACACTAAAAGTAAAATTTAAAAACACTGAAATTTACAAAACTTTCAAACTTCATCAAGTTAACCATCCATACGCCTTAGAATATTGTTAATCTGTCAGAAGATATCTTTACAAATGGTCCTCAATATTTTCTTACTTAAAAAAAGTTTCTTTACATCTGAATTCAAACTATGTACACAGTAACTTTGGGTATTTGAGGATGATAAATTAAGATTGTTTTGAACTAACATTTAGTCTGACAAATATTATACACCAATATAGTATTGTTTATATTAGTTTCAAGTTATACAGAGTCAATTAAAATAACTGCATATATAAGTACTAGTCACATTTTAAAACAGTACCGTTTTCAAAGTATCCAATTTTCTTAAATACTGAAGTGTTTTTAAACGTATTAGTTGTTAGTTCTAATAAGAGTAACTTCATACGACATATTACTTCTTAAGGAGCTAAACAGTGAGCAGACAAACATATCAATAAATAAAGTGTCTTGTCTGTACTATCAAATCACTTGGAAATAATTTCTAATTGCATTCAACATACCTTCCCCTATTGTACTTCTGATCATTATCCGACGTGGATCGATTTCTTTGTTTGTTTCTCGAACTGAAATGGGTGGTTGAGAAGAATCACACATGGTTGATTTTATTGGACTTGAATGGTCACTTGCCACTGGAGTATCTGGAACTACAATCAGCATCAAATAAACATTTTAAATTAACTCTAGGGAAAATAACTAGATGTGTTTTTTTCAAACAACGTTATTAGTTCATATTTGTTAGCCTTAAACTGAATATTACAACTACCAGTGGAAAATCAAAGGAAGCGTCTTGTCAAGTATTTTGTTTAATATTTTACCGAATTGTCAACCGATCTCAGAAAACAAAATGTGTAGGAATGAATAAAATGTCTAAAATATTACAGAGATATTTAGTTTTCTCAGGCAATTATTATACTTGTTCACAGTCGCTCTAACAGCACACAGAACATCAATAATATACATTTTATATGAAGATAAAGTAAAAATAATCCACAAAACTGATATATAGACTACAACATAGTTACAGATAATACAGTGAATTACTCAATGAAGCATGTAAGAAGTGTCGTAAATCCTGATTTCTATTTTAGAGATAATGCGATGACGGGGAAACATTATCGATATTCATTTAGAGACTTTCGTCCCATGGTAGATAGAAGTAAGTTAGTCTGTCATATCAAACAGTTTTAGAAAATGATAACAACTCAGCATTTCGGTTACTGGCAAGAATGTGCTAGAGCTCAAAAATATTTTCAATTATTAAAAATCATACTACATCACTTTAAAAAATATTTAGCAGCTACTTTTCTATGGTACGATAAAGAAACCTTCACATTACTGAAGTTAATCTCAGTGGAGTATCCGATTTAGAAACTGTTATCAAGTCAAATATCTTAGGGTAAGTACACTCCTATCTGTTTAATCCATTCGTAAAAGTTCCATGAAATAATGTATTATTCCTCGTTCATATAATTTCGTTTTATTACAACGGTAAAAATGGTAAAATATTGTAATATTTTCCGCAAATTACTAAGAATATGACAGACTAATATGAAGTCTAGTATTTTCTAGTCGATAGTCGATAATAAGAGTATGGTAAGTAATACTTTAAATTATTATTACCATCAACGACTAATTATCAAATTCATATTTGCTTTTTTAGATAAAGAAAAATTAGTATGACATGTTAGGAAGAAGAAAATATACTCTTGTCTGTATCAATAACCTCTAATCTATACAACCGATTGTCACTACATAAACATTTCCTATTTTAAACTTATCAGTTGGATAGAAAAGTCTAGGTTGACAGTGAATGAGAATTTATCAGATGTGGTAAACTTAATTAAAACGTTAGGCACATTCTTGTCTATTTTCTAATAACCTTAAAGCTCATAATCCCTGTACATCAATAATATGGTAACTATGAGGATTTATGACAACAAACAATTAAATAGATAACAAAGTATGCTGAAAAGTTAAGTTGCATAGCGTTTTATAAAAAATTAAGTAGCAAGCGAAAATTAAGTCTATCAGTCTGTTTTTAATTTCCTATCTTCACGAGTTACCTAGGGAATTCGGAACAACACAAATAATTGATTTAAATCACTTCTAGCTATATTTATTTACTATTTACTAGTTAGTTGTTCTAACACCAACTTTCCGTTTATTCAGAGAAACTGTATCTTTAACCGTTACTCAGATGAACATTATACCGATTCAGAAAACGTTTCTAAACATTTAATAAACGATATGACATATATCAACTATGAAAACTTCAAGCAACAAGTCATTTATTCATCACTCAAATATTTCTAAGAGATAGATCCCATACATTTCTTTGAATTGAAATATTTGGTCTTCCAGAATGAAGATATCATAGCCAAAAGGTTTAAATATGAAAATAGGCTAAGGAGAGTTAAGTCTAGTCTTATTAGAAAATCTTAAATAAAGTTTTAATATAAACTGTTTTCAACTATGCATACAAACATTTAACTAAGTGTAAGTATGAGTTGAAAAAATTCACTTTCCAGAAATTACAAAAGTAACAATACTTATTCTTGTGATAGTAAGGATGATATTAATTAGAATACAAATAATCTTACGAAATTAATACTATACCTTCAAGTTCCAAATCACACGGTGTAGGCTTCTCTGTCATACCATTCACTGAATTTGAAACGAGAACAGTTTCCATTTGCCTGAAGATGAAGCCACATTTTGAAAAGAATCTTGAAAATAATTTATTCATCAGTATAGGATTATGGAGATTGTTGAGTTTTATTTGAGTTCATGAACCGATTAATGTTGGACCACCATTTCTTCCAGATCTTTAATGGTGGTCTAATATTGATCGGTTAATGAACTTAATAATTTATTCAGACAAATTACTTACCGTACAAAGTTCAGTTTTATTGTTATTATTAGTACTTACTTACTTACTTACGCCTGTTACTCCTCGTGAAGGAGCATAGGCCACTCACCAGCATTCTCCATCCAACCCTGTCCTGGGCAATCCTTTCTAGCTCCGTCCAGTTGTAATTCATCCTTTTCATATCTGCTTCTATTATCCGACGCAATGTGTTCTTTGGCCTTCCTCTTTTTCGCTTCCCTTCAGGATTCCAAGTTAGGGCTTGCCTCGTGATGCAGTTTGACGATTTGCGTAATGTATGTCCTATCCATTTCCATCGTCTTTTCCTAATTTCTTCTTCAGCTGGAAGTTGGTTTGTTCTCTCCCACAGAAGGCTATTGCTGATGGTATCCGGCCAATGGATGTTGAGTATCTTGCGTAGACAGCTATTTATAAATACTTGTACTTTCTTGATTGTGGTTGTTGTAGTTCTCCAAGTTTCAGCTCCATACAGTAGAACTGCCTTGACGTTCGTATTGAAGATTCTCACTTTGATATTGGTTGAAAGTTGTTTTGAGTTCCATATGTTCTTCAATTGTAGGAATGCGACCCTTGCTTTGCCGATCCTCGCCTTTACGTCTGCATCTGAACCTCCTTGTTCATCGATGATGCTTCCCAGGTATGTGAAGGACTCTACATCTTCCAGAGTTTCGCCATCAAGAGTGATTGGATTGCTGTTCTCCGCTTTGAATTTGAGGACCTTGGTTTTCCCTTTGTGTATGCTGAGGCCTACTGATGCAGAGACTGCTGCTACACTGGCTGTCTTCATCTGCATCTGTTCGTGTGTACGTGATAGGAGGGCTAGGTCGTCTGCGAAGTCCAAATCGTCTAATTGATTCTGAGCTGTCCATTGTATTCCGTGTTTTCCTTCAGATGTTGAGGTCTTCATAATCCAGTCGACCACCAGAAGAAAGAGGAAGGGAGAGAGTAAACAGCCTTGTCTGACTCCAGTCCTTACTTGGAATGCATCTGTCAGCTGTCCTCCATGCACTACTTTGCACTGTAGTCCGTCGTATGAGTTCCGGATAATGTTGACAATCTTCTCAGGAACTCCGTAGTGTCGAAGAAGTTTCCATAATGTCCTCCTATCTACACTGTCGAATGCCTTTTCATAATCAATGAAGTTGATGTATAGTGATGAGTTCCACTCAACTGATTGTTCGACGATGATCCGTAGTGTTGCAATTTGGTCTGTGCACGACCGATCCTTACGGAATCCAGCTTGTTGATCTCGAAGTTGGGCGTCTACTGCATCCTTCATCCGGTTCAGCAACACTCTGTTGAAGACTTTCCCTGGTATTGACAGTAGTGTAATGCCTCTGTAGTTTTCACATTTGCTCAGATCTCCTTTCTTTGGAATCTTGACGAGGTGTCCTTCTTTCCAGTCCATCGGCACTTGTTCCTCCTCCCAAATCTTTTTGAATAGAAGGTAAGCATGCTTGTGGTTGCTTCGATGTCTGATTTCAGTGCTTCAGCTGGTATGTTGTCGGGTCCTGCTGCTTTCCCGTTCTTGATTTGTCTGACGGCCATTCTAATTTCTTCCGTCGTTGGTGGGTTGACATCTATAGGAAGATCTATGTGTGCTGCTTCGATGTCCGGTGGATTCATTGGAGCCGGCCTATTCAGGAGTTCCTCGAAGTATTCTACCCATCTGTTACGCTGTTGTTGAATTTCGGTGATTGGCTTGCCTTCTTTGTCTTTGACCGGCCTCTCTGGTTTACTGTATTTCCCTGCTAGTTTCTTCGTTGTATCGTGAAGCTGTTTCATATTTCCTTCTCTAGCAGCTTTTTCTGCCGTCGTTGCTAGTTCTTCCACGTATTTCTTCTTGTCGGCTCTAATGCTCCTCTTCACTTGTTTGTTTGCTTCTATGTATTCAGCTTGTGCTTGGACTTTCTCTGCTCGTGTTCGGCTGTTGTTAATTGCTGCCTTCTTGTTCTTCCTTTCTTTGATCTTGTCCAGTGTTTCTATAGAGATCCATTCCTTATGATGGTGTTTCTTTAGGCCCAGAACCTCTTGACACGTTGAAGTTAATGCTTCCTTGATGCCTTTCCAGTTGTCCTCCATAGTAGTTTCTTCTTCTTTCAGTAGATCTTGTAAGGCTTGGAACCTGTTGTTGAGAGCTATCTTGAATTCATTGAGTTTGTCAGTATCTCGAAGGAAGGCTGTATTGAACCTTTGTAGTGCTGTTTGTCCACTTGTCCAGTTCTTTTTAGCTTCAGTTTTAAATTGGCTACAACTAGGTGGTGATCTGAAGCTACGTCAGCACCTCTCCTGGTTCTCACATCTTCCATTGTCCTTCGGAATTTTTTGTTGATGCAAATATGATCTATTTGGTTCTCTGTAGTGTGGTCCGGTGAGATCCATGTAGCCTTGTGTATACGCTTGTGTGGAAATATTGTGCCTCCTATGACCAATTTGTTGAATGCACATAGATTTGCAAATCTTTCTCCATTTTCGTTTCTTTCTCCCAGTCCATGTCGTCCCATAATATCTTCATATCCAGTGTTGTCTATTCCGACTTTGGCATTTAGATCTCCCATCAGAATAGTTAGGTCCTTTCTTGGCATTTCTCAATGATTGACTGCAGCCGCTCGTAGAACTGATCTTTAATGTCGTCGTTGCTATCATTGGTGGGTGCATAACATTGGATAATATTCATTAAGATCCCCTCCTTCTTTGTTTTGAATGATGCTTTGATGATTCTGGATCCGTGAGACTCCCATCCTACAAGTGCATTTCGTGCTACTTTGGACAGCATAAGAGCGACTCCCTGAGTGTGTGGAGCATTGTCCTCTTCGTGACCGGAGTATAGCAGCATCTCTCCCGTAGCTAGCCTTTTCTGTCCAGCTTGGGTCCAGTGGGTTTCGCTGATTCCCAGTACTGCTAAGTTGTATCTCCTCATTTCCATTGCTATTTGACTGGTCTTCCCGGTTTCCCACATTGTTCGAACGTTCCATGTACCTATAAAAATTTTTGCTCTGGTTGTTAGAAGGGGCATCGGCCTCGTGGCTTCCGAAGGAACTCGGCTTTCACCATGAAGCGTCATAATTCTTCTAACTGAAGACCTTCTAACTCCCAGGGCAGAGTTTAAATGGTTTGGATTATTTTTTCTGGTAAGCGTTTTTTTAGCGAGTTAGTTTTCTACGGGATGGGGACGCTAACCCCATGCCCAACCCTCCTCCTTTACCCGGGCTTGGGACCGGCAGCAACCCTATAAGAGCTGCAGGCGGAGTTTATTATTAGTACTATCTCTCAATAATATATACGTGAATAGTCTGAATGACGTGATGGAGTATAGGTCATCTAACCAACGTATATCCAGATAGGAGAACTAACTACTGCTTCCTCATGATTTACATTAATATGATAAAATAGCCTGTAGTTCCACGTAATCTAACCGGTTCTTTGAGACAGTCGGTTTCAAATTCTTGGCTGTCAAAATGCATGAAAGCTCAAAGGAACCTTATGAATCTTCTGATAAACAGATACTTCAAATTTCTTTAAAAAATTGATCATCTTAATAAATAAAGTAAATCGGGTCAACTTTACTCAGAAATATGCCTGCTCAACATGGAAGATTAACAAATAATGAGTGATGTATGATGATTAATTTTTATTCATATTTTATATATATAAGCATGTTATTACATAAAAAATTCTTCTTCTAACTACACAGGAAACTACAATAAAGTTTTTTTCATTAAGTTTAAAGTCTAAGTCCTTTCATTCCATCTATCAGTCATCAATAATGTAATTAACAAAACTAAATTATTGATTTTACCAAAAAGATTTTATAAAAATATTATAACTTACGTATTTTCTCCTGTAGATCTAGATCGTTTCGTACAAAAACGTAGAAAGATAAGAGTACCCAAAAGACAACATAACAATATTACTGCTAAACTTAATATACCCATAAGTATTTGAAAGCGCTTAGATGATTGTGTTGGTTTTATTATTTCAGAAACATTCATTGATCTTAAATCTTTTGAGGTAGTATCCATAAGTAATGGATTGTAAGTAGTAGATTTTTCTAAAATAGAAGTGTAAAGTTTAAATTCAGATAATTTCTAAAAATTAATGAATACTATACTCACATAATTTAAATTTGAAGCCAGAAGTAGTATTTTTCTAACAAAACTTATGAAACTGTATATTTAAAAAAGACACTTGCTAAGTTTGAATTCCTAAGTTAACTGTTTTGTACTCATTATTTGAAACAGAAACTACAAACATAAGATTCTATTCCTTATACTAAACAGAACGTAAACATTTTCATACTGTCCTAAAATTAGTAAAAGAATATAAAAAAAAACGTTACTATGTAACTATAATAACATCAGTATGCACGATTCCAGACAATTGTTCAACAATACTTCTTTGTTACTAAATGAACAGAAATCAACCTTAGAATAACTAATGACACTAGGGTGAAACGGCTGTCCAGTGCTTCTAGGTTTTCCATGGTGGTCTAGCTTCAATTGACTGATGAACTCAACTATTAAATCGCTATAATATCCACAAAACCCTTTTCTGAGTTCATAGTAAGACAATTCGAAAATGTTCTCAAACGAATATTTTTGTACTGCATTTGTGAACATTAAATGAGTTGCTAAATATTCATTGAGAACCTTTCAACTACTATGGGATAACAACTATTAAAACAGTTGATGTAAAATTCTTTTGAACTGAGATATTATTCCCACATTGAAAATTCTCAAAATAATAGTTTGTTGCAAAAGAATTACTTGGAAAGTGTAGGTTTGTCAGTACTTATCATTTGGTATCCTTGTGTTTCAAATTACGAGAATGAAAGCAAAAAATACTAAATTCTGTTTTTAATAAAACAAAGTTAATAGTATGATTTGTAAGGTAAAGTAATTAAACCGATACAGATAGATTTTCTTAAGGTGCCAAAATTCCTCAGGCAATATACTGAACATGGTAGGAATAAAGCTACCTGAATTTTCCTATTTTAAAAATTTTATTTTTAAGGTGATAAAATAACATAAAAAATTCGAATTCACTTGTTACATACCTACGGGTAGTATGAAAATAAAACTGATGTTCATCAGAAAGCTAAAGAGTCCATTTTTACTGAAACCCTTAAGCATATATTAAGGAACCAGTACTTTGAGTGACTCGATTTAATCAGTTAAGCAATACGTTTTAGACACAAAGTGCTACAATTTCAGAATGATTATAATCACTGGGATGATAATAATTTTATATTTATGTCTTTTAACACTGATTTATGATAGTCTATGATGTAACAATCGTATTTTCACTTTAATACATACGAAATCAAAAAGTGTTATATTTTTTTCTCAAAATAACCTTATTACTGATAATCCACTTTATTTATTGTTTTTTTAAATGACAACAGAAGGAAGAAAAATAAACATCCAGTAGAACTTGATCTTGTAACGTTTGATAAGCATCTGGATTTGGTCATTGCTCAATTCATTATAAGGGTTAGACATTTTTTGATTAGATTTTTAAGATAATGTCAAAAATATCAACATTTGATAATGATAAATCTGTGACAATATTTGTCTTATACAACCCATTCATAGAATGAAAGTTATTGTTAGTTTTCTGACATATTTCTGTCAGTATCACAAGAATTTACCACTAATTAATTGTCCTTATTGTGATAACGATCTTGTAAACAAACACCCAACATCTAAAGTTCTATGCCTAACACTACTTCATTTGAAAATAAATCTTTCATTTTCTGCTTCTAACTTCTGGTTCTTGTCAAAAACGGGCTTATTTTCTATTTCAGTGGTACATTCATTATATTACACTTCTTTTCATCATTCAATGCCATATTCTTTGCTGATTTTTAATGGTTGTCTATCATTCTCAATATTAGTTTTCGTTACTAACCTTATCACAACGTGTATAAACTAAATCCGTGTTATAATTGTCAAACTGCTTGGTAATACCAAAATGTCTATCTTATGTAAAATTCATTGTACTAAATGTATATAAATGAATACCGATTTAAATAAATTTATTATGGTGTATTAGTACTTCCGAATGATATGCAATAAACGTTAAGTACCGAATATTATAAGGAATTCTGAATTGAGTTTAAATGAAGCAGTTCATTATTCAGAATCTGTTCAATGATATTTTGACCAAAATATAAAGAAATTGATTAATTCCAATCCTTATTATCTCAAGCAAAATGACTCTAACCTTTTATAACAGAATTGAATTAAATAAGCTTTTTATTAAGGTGATGGGAATATCTATGATTCATTCAATGTTCCAAATAAACAGCATCATATTATAAAATAAGTGATTTATTTGACAGTTTTAAGTTGTTGTTTCCCAATAAATAAAAACATTTCCCATCATTTTATTTATCTTTTAATAAACATAAATAATAAATGTTTGTGTTTGTCATTTCTAAATAAAAACTTTACCATCCTTACCTTCCACTTTGGGATCATTTTGATCAATATTTGAATATCGATAAACCGACTTCTTAAATATTCCCCAGCCAGCTGAAAGATGAGGTCTCACCTGAAAGTAATGAAAGTATACTGACGTTTAACAGGTGAAGAAATTTTTGAATTTATATATAATCTGTATACTATATAACAATTAATCTCGAGGAAACAGAAAATCATGCTGTTTTAACATTTATTCACATAACTAATAGCTAATTCTATGTATGTTATTAACTTTGAATATACTACACTTTATTGTTATCAAGTAATTATACTTTATTCTGGTGGAGTTTTGTTCTCTGAGCTGGATGGTTTGGTCGTGGAACTTTCATCGTTCTTCTGAACGACATCATCAGCACAACCTTCAGAGGATTATTATTTGTATTCCAGCTTACATTAGGAAATAAATATGTTACACTTGATATCTTTAAGAGCAATTTGTTTAGCATTTTGTTTCACACTATCCATTGAATTTTTTGATGACTTTAAATATTTTTTATAAATGGTATTTTTAGTGGAAGAAAGTACATTTATAAAATTTGGTGAAAGTTCACCATCATACACATCTCAAACCTATGATGTTATTTCTGTATTCTGATTCACTGTAAATATATTGAATTATTTATTTCCTAAATTCTTTGTATTCTTTGATTCCATTAGGTATAAATACACTTTAATTTTGACAAGGGAAGCTTTATTAAATGAACAAAAACTTATAGCTATCCGTATTGTCCCTTTTTACAGAAATACTAACTTTACTTAACGTTTTCTCATAGATTTTGTGTTATATAAAGATGGGACGATTTACTCCTATGTATTATTAACTATAAGATAATTTTAATAGTTGAATTCATAAGTTGACTAAAGCTAGATCACCAATGAAAACCTGGAAGCCATGACCAGTGGAGTTCAACCGTGTCTGTTGTAGAGACAGTTACTTACTAAAGACAATAGTGGACGATCGTGCAATATCGTGGGTTGGTTGAATTTAGATAGTAACACCTTATGATGCCGGCTCACTGGTCTAGAGACTAAGCGTTCGTGCGCGAGACCAAAGTTCGCATGTTCGAGTCGCGTGTACGTGGTCGTAGGTGCGCATTGCTGAGGGGTCTCAAAATAGAAAGAAACGGCTGTCCAGTGATTTTAGGCTTTACATGGTGGCCTAACTTCGAATGATTCACGATTTCAGCTACTAAAATTACTACAATATCCACAGAACATCTTTCTGATATAAAATAACTGATTAAAAATGCCAGGACAACAATGGAAGTTTCACTGTTATCGTACACATCTTTTCGAGAGGTAATTTGATCTGTGTGATGTATTCGCATCATACAGAAAATGAATATATTCTGGTTTTCTGTTACATTTCGTAGACATGTGTCAAAAAAGCCAATGCATTATTTTGTTCACGCCCATTAAATACTAAATGCGCTATCCCTTTGACCTAAGTTTTGAATAACAATGTATGTGATGTCATCAGATTTTGAGTGTACGTTTACTTAAGATCAGTTCAATGACATTTATATTGCATTAACCTAAAATAATATCTTTTATTGTGATAGACAATTATTGAAACCCATTACTATTATGAAGACAGGAAAATATAAATGTTATAGACGTTACAGTAACATATAACTGATAATCTTTTGTGGAACTTTGTACTGAGACAAAATAACACAACAATAGTAAACATTCTTATTTCGAGTTTCTACTATGTTGAATATTTTGGTTTACTTTGCGTTTTCAGACGCCTTCACATAACTTAACTAGTCTTAAACTGGTGGATCAAAAGTGTCACTGAATTTGAATCTAAAAAAGTAATAGATGAAGGTCTCAGCTTAAAAGACGATTTTTGCGTAAGTAGCAGTGTATTTTTCCACAGATAATTATGTTAAATGAGTTAGCGTCACGTACCCATATTCCTAATATTCCAGGTTGTGGTAAATCTGTTAAAAATATGGATGTTTCTGACAAAAAGTGAGTAAGCGCTGGTTTACTTTGCCAATACGAATCTTCGAATTCCATCAAAGAGGAATTAATCCAAACATATACTTGATACTCAATAACACTGAAATCTGCATCCAACGAATGTATCTAAAGTGATTTAAATTAATACAATAAGGAAGTTAAAACAAATGTTTTATATGAAGTGAAACAATTAACCTACTCTAAGTATCTATCCAGAATTCTAACTGAGATGCAAAAATTTTTTTCATTCAAAAATAATGTTGTCAAAACATGTCGAATGATAAGGAAACTAACAACAGATTTACATGTGTAGGTTAATTAAATTACGACATGAATTTCTATAAAGAACTCGTGTAATTCATTATCACCACATTACTTGCATTATTACTTCATGACGGAAATTGTAAACAATTTTTTAGTTCTGTTTAGTCACAAGCGGTCTAATAGTATATCTTAAGTTATAAATACAGAGATTAAATGTCATATGTTCCGAGTTGGACTAATAAAAGTAATAAATCAATTATGCCTGCTCATTCTCATCAAGGCATATGTTCCCAAACAGTAATCTTCAATCAACTCCATTCCAGTTGTCGTTTAGCGCCTTTCGTAGTCTTAATGACTGTCTCCGATTGCCGGTAACAAGTGTTTTTTGGTCTACCTTTCCTTTTTCCCTGAAAATTATAAGATATGGTTCGCTTTGTGATGTGATTTAATGGGTTCGATAAAGTGTATTCTGTCCTCCTCCAAAGTTTCATAATTTCTTCCTCAACTAGAGGCCGATTTAGAGTGTTACTGAACCGGATGAAAGACGCAGTAGATACCCAACTTCGAGATCAACAGGCTGGATTCCATAGGGATCGGTTGTGCACAGACCAAATTGCGACACTACGGACCATCGTCGAACAATCCTTTTTGAATGGGACTCGTTATTATACATCAACTTCGTTGACTATAAGAAGGCGTTTAGCAATGTAGATAGAAGAACATTATGGAAACTTCTTCGACACTATGGAGTACCTGAGAAGATTGTCAACATTATCCGGAACCCATACGACGGACTACAGTGCAAATTGTTGCATAGAGGACAGCTCACAGATGTATTGGAATAGAGAACCGGAGTCAGACAAGGCTGCTTACTCTTTCACTCCTTCTTTCTTCTGGCGGTCAACTGGATTATGAGGACTTCGGATTCGCAGGTAAAGTGTACCTTTTATTCCACACACACGAAGAAATGCAGATGAAGATAACCAGTGTATAAGCAGCATTTGCATAAGCAAGCTTCAACATACACAAGGGGCAAACCAAGATCTTCAAATACAACACGGAGAACACCAACCTAATCAAACTTGATGTAGAAGCCCTGGAAGAGGTGGAAACTCTCACGTACATGGGCAGCATCATCAATTGAAAAAGAGAATCTAATGCAGGCGTAAAGGCGAGGATTGAAAAAAAAAGCGACAGCATTCCTACAGTTCTGGAACAAATAGAAATCAAAACAACTGTTAGCCAATATCAAAGTCACAATCTTCAATACGAACGTCAAGACAGTTCTACTGTACAGAGCTGAAACTTGGACTGAAATATGGAACTACTACAACCATAATCAAAAAGGTACAAGTGTTTATAAACAGTTGTCTCCGCAAGATACCCAATATCCGTCGACCGGATGTCATCAGGAACAGCCTACTGTATAAGAGGACAAATCAGATTCCAGATGAGGAGGAAATCAGGAAAAAAACGCTGGAAGTGGATAAGACACAATTTTGAGGAAGTCGTCGAACTGCATCACGAGGCAAGTCCTACCTTGGAATCGTCAAGGGAAGCGGAAAAGAGGGAGGCCAAAAACGCACTGCATCGAGAACTTGAGGCAGACATGAAAAGAATGAACAGCAACTGGAAAGAACTGGTAAGGATTGCTCAGGACTAAGTTGGATGGAGAATGCTGGCGGACGGCCTACGCTCCTCCATCAGGGTTAACAGGCGTAGGTAAATAAGGAGACCCACATATTAATAACGGTAATGTGATCTGTCCGTAGCTCTCACACTTGCTAAGATCTCCCTTCTTGTATATCCTGATTAGGTATTCTTGATAGGATCACATCTCTCTCACACTTGCTCCTGTAGCAGCTTGTTTTGCTGTAGTTGTCAGATCTTTTACGCACCACCGTTTATAAGTTCTAGTGATATTTTTCACCGGTTTGTTTGTTTATGTATATAAAGCTTATGTTCTGGCTTTCTCTGCTCTTCTTAGATTACTGTTGACTATATTTGTGATAATTTAACAGAAATTTGTGCAAATTTCTGATACAACGGTATGGATTAGTGAAAATTGGTTAATTATTATTTGTCTACGAACTATAGTTTCACTGATGATATTTGGTATGATACAATCTACGGTAAACAAAACTATGACAGATTTCGTTCTTTCAGAAAAATACTAGAAATGATTTATCAGTTCTTCAATTTTAGTCAATATACAAAAGTTGTCAATTAGTATGGTAAGGTGGACAATAGCAAATTTTGGAAGGGAAAACATTATTTGATGTAAACCTATTGTTTGGTGATTTCGTTATCCATACGTTCCAATACTATTGAGTTAAACCCAATAATTTTATTTTTTGCTTCAAAACGTTTTATTTGTCGACAAACTAGCTGTCTTACGTTATATTTTAGTTAGTTTATCAAGTACGTTATCTGCCAATTGAACTACCTCATATATGACAAATATTAACTGAGTCATCTTACGTAACTCATGAATGGGATTTTTAAAAATCTTTTTTGTTCTAAAAGAATTACCTGTGAATTAGATAACTGGGACTTGTAATCTGACGTTGATACTTGAATGAATGATTTGCTTGTTACAAATTGAGGTGGTTCCCATGAAAACTCATATACTTTGTCCAAGGAATTCTTTTCGGCTTTATTGTATGTATTAGAATCAATTGTTAATTGATGTGTTGTTGACTTGTTGCCTTGCCAGTGTCTTACTTCATTAAAATGGGTACTCCCAACAGATATATTAACTGGGTACATTTTGGGAATAATAGGCATGGATTGAAAAAATCTCAGTATTAAGGAAAACATGTATAATAAAAGTAACGTATATTAAACAAATCAAAGAAATGTAGTTGTTTCATTCATAAAATGATATCGTTTGTAAAAAAAAATACTAAATTCCTTATGAGGTAAAAAGTCCCCTTCAATTCGGTGATGTGATGGAACAAACAAATTAACTATGCAAATGTATGGTAAATTACATAGTTCCCTTACTGTATTTGACTTTCCACATCAAAATTGATATAGTTTAATTGTTTAGATAATAAAAGTGAAATAATACTTCAATAAATACAGTGAACGTTTTTTTATTCGTGCAGTCGCACCCTCAATTTTATTTAATATTTTACCAAATAATCACTTATGAAACAGTATGTCAAGTTTTCAAGGTTTAAACCAAAACATTTGCTCAAAATGATGTTGATTATTTCGTATTTCAGAAATTTAACTTACAAGCTCATGTCATTCACCATTACACGTATTGCTGGGAAAGTCACACTTTTATAGTTGCTTTCTTCTGATAGATATCCCATATGTAGGATCTACGAAGCTTTTGAAATAACTATTCTGTATTTGTATCATTGTATTGATTGTACTTTCTTAATATTACTGATTTTAATTATTTTTCCTTTCTTTTAATCAGATTATGAGAAATTTTAATTGATCAGTGAGTGTGTTTCCCCATGATAACGTCTAGAGATAATAGATGATAAATATACACAAGGTCAATGTACTAATTATCTAACATTTAGACTTAAAGTATGTCTTTCTTGCTTCTTTTTTAGGTAAGTGAAGTGAGTATTAGATGGCATTACCTATACGATGACACTAAATATTCGACTGCATGAAAATGTAATCGAAACCATTTGTATGATTTTTAACAACCGTATCATCATCTTTATAACCTACGGCAGATGAATATTGTGAATTAATCAAGAAAAGTACAAATATTTAACACAGAGCTTACTTGATAATCAGTATTCATCCCTATAACTTCAATTTCGTATGAAATTTCAAATCTTAGTACAGTTTGACAGACGTATAAACCTCTATGACAATAGTGTAATTGATAAGTTAATAACATTGTATAAAAAGGCAGGACGTATTGAGGGAGTAAGATTAAAGATGATTCATCTATTTTTCACCTCGAGGTTAACCAACGAAATAGATCAGAAAGCAGACTGATCTTAAAATCGTATATTCGTAAAAACTCCCTAATCAGATCGAAATGCCTCTTCAGTTGTTTATCATTTCCCTCTGTTATTGTATTGATACAAATTCAGACTAAACAAGTTATTAGGGATACTGTCACTTGATATGGTCATAAATTTAATAGTTAGATCATTTTTATAGGACATGATAAACAAGCGCCACGAAACTAACATGCGCATACTTAATTGTGTATTCTAATGGCATACGCTAGTTATTTATGAAGAACTTTACCGTGTTTGTTAATGAATATTAAATTCTATATAATTGCTGAAAATTTCCCATTATATTAAAACACAATTATATAAACGAAGAGTATTCCTTTTCAATAATTTATCATCAGGTTCTACAATTATGAATCTAGATTAATAATCCATAAAATTGGCCAGATTTAAGGCAAAATACATCATCATTTGGAAATTGTAATGTGTGAATCAGGAATTGTTTGTTATATAAATAAAATTGTTAATGTTGGGGCTGACTAATATGAAGTGTTAACTTGAATCAGTTTATAAGCGAAATGAAATTGTGAGATAAATTATCAGAATAAATATGGTCAACATGGGGTAGGAGGGAGAGAGAGAGAGGGGGGGAGAGAGAGAGAATATTGTGATTACAAATCGGAAATTGCTTAAGATGTAAAATAATTAGGTCAAATATAGTAGATTCAGGGGTGGATATTCAATAAATTCCTCAAAAAGGGTTTATCAAGTGTAATAATAATAATAATGATAATAATAATGATAATGATAATAGTAATAATAATAATAAGTTTGGGACATAAAATGAACATTAATCAGATTACGTCACCACATTATAAGATTAATTATTGGCTAGTTGGCCAGGGTAAAAGGAGTGGCTGAACATACTTCTTTTGGATACAAAGCTCTGGCTTTTTGATCCGAATAGCAATTGCTTCAGCCGCCTGTAGGATTCGCAGTCTGACGGAATTAGATAGACTGCCGTTAACACGATAGACTATTGCAAAAGATTGCTCCATGTTGGCTGTATGTCCTGTTTGGACTAAATGGTCTAAGATGGAGCTGTTAACAGTTTTGACAACACCTTTGCTTAACCACACGGGTAAGTGCTCACGAGCCCGAATGTACAAATTCCTAGAACATCTGCCAATATAACTTGCTCCACAGGAGCAGTTGAGTGGATAGATACAGAAGGAGGTGGCTAGTCTAGGTAATTTATCTTTCAACCTCGGAGTGATTATTGGTAGTGTGGAGAATACTAGTTGTAGTTTAGCTGCGTTAAAAGTCCTTTGAATTGATCTACTTAACTTAAGTCTCAACATTTCACTCGGCGCGTCGCCTCTGAATTGTAAGTGTATATATAGAGGCTTTTTATTTACCGTTGGGCATTCTCTACGCTGTCTTTCATTGGCTAAGTTTTTATTTATAAATTTCTCTGGATATCCATTTTCTTTCGGAATTGTAAACAATATCTTTGTTTCATCTTCAATCGTATCCATAGTACATATAGTCTTGATTCTATGATGTAGTGTCTTGATAAGGTTCCTTTTTTGTTGTAGAGGAACGAAACTGAAAAAGTTAGTATATCGACCCGTCCAGGTCATTTTCCTGTTTATGTTTCTTTTTAGCGATCCATCTTTTCTCCTTGCAAGCAGAACATCTAGGAAGGCTATTTTACCCCCATTTTCTTTCTCACATGTGAATTTTATGGACGGGTGAGCTGTATTGAATCACTCGAGTGTTCTTATCAAGACCTAATTATTTTACATCTTAAGCAATTTCCGATTTGTAATCACAATATTCTCTCTCTCCCCCCTCTCTCTCTCTCCCTCCTACCCCATGTTGACCATATTTATTCTGATAATTTATCTCACAATTTCATTTCGCTTATAAACTGATTCAAGTTAACACTTCATATTAGTCAGCCCCAACATTAACAATTTTATTTATATAACAAACAATTCCTGATTCACACATTACAATTTCCAAATGATGATGTATTTTGCCTTAAATCTGGCCAATTTTATGGATTATTAATCTAGATTCATAATTGTAGAACCTGATGAGAAATTATTGAAAAGGAATACCCTCCGTTCATATAATTGTTTTTCCATATAATTTAAAGTTTCAACCGCGTTTTGATTGTGTTCAACAGCTTTCATCGCACAGTACGTTTAAAGTGTATATAATCATACTAAACTACTTTTTGTAAAAAAAATATATTGCGAAGTCCGTACGGAATATTTAGGGCACTTGTAATTAGTAATCGCTTCCCGAATGTCTAAACAGCATTTTCCAAGAAAGTATATTATTGTATAACGTTTTTAAGTTCTTTAAAATTTCCAAGCAGGTAACAGGGGTGATACTTGCCAATGTCGAGAACAAAACTATCAGATTTCCAACATGGAAATTCGACTCCTTTTTTTACGTCAACATTTTTTTTACCTTTGATTTTAACCACATTGCAACCAACATTAATGAAAATATATGGAACATTAATTTAATAAGACTGCTATACACTAATGAACTCATAGCATTACTGTTAACACTATATTGAAGAATAATTTTACGAAATACTGTCATCAAAGAAATAAAATGAATCTAAATATTTTTTCATACAATGGTTTACTCGAATAACAACAAGTCTGGTTTGATCAAATGAATTAGGACTGGTTGTTCTGAAAACAAGCAAATCGTAATGTCAATATTCTTACAACAGTGGTTGTTCCATAAAGCTATATAAAAAAGCAAATAAAACTTATAACTTTGATTATGATCCTATGGAAGAAGTGATTGTTAAATTTCCATTTACAAAGAATGATTTGAGTTCGCATAATTACTGTTCATTAAGATGTAGTTTTGGAACAATTGACCTTGCTGCTCATTTGACGAAAGCTCTACAGAACTGCGTTCATTTATGTACCCATAATTATATCATCACATAGATTCTAAGAAAAGAGACACATATATCTAAAAGCATTTCTTAATATGCACCAAAAATTTTGGTGGTCAATGTTCCAGCACTCATGGTAGACATAAAGTTGACAAAGACAAATAACTACATCCAACTACCAAATTTTGAGCAATAAATATACAGCACAATATCAGACTATTACGTTTATCACAAAAAATTGTCAATTCGGAGAACTGTGAAAAGTATCCCTAAGAATTTATCTTACTGAACTGAATCATTTTATACATGTTTCACTCACATGTGATCCTCAAACTCACATATTAGCTATAAACTCATTGTCTATAAAAATGCTATAGAACATACATAACAACATAAATTCGCTTCATCCCCTAGTTCTTGTTACTTCAACCAAACAAAAGTAACTTAAGTTCAGTATTTAACACTAATAATTCTGAAGATGACATTATAACATTTTCAAACTTATTTCTTTCAAAAGTATATACATAAAAAACCTTATAAAATGTAATGCATCTCTGTTTAACTAAATGGCATTGAAAAAAACTTGATAAAACATATTGAATTCAATAACTTTGATTTAATTAAATGAACAGTAATTTTATATTTTCTCTTTGTGGTACTCGAAAAGTTTTTTTTTTTTGGTTCATTTTCATCTGATATCTTCAAATTGTTAATTTAATTTAGTTAACTATTCATTGTAATTTTGAGGTTGAGTGTCAATCATCATCAAAACTGATATATATATATATATATATATATATATATATATATATATATATATATATATATATATATATATATATATATATATATATATATATATATATATACTTGATAATATACACGAAAGCCACCTTGATCATTATCAGGTCATTAGAAAGATGTTTGGTAAGTTCAAGTAGTTGGAAAGTATTCTTACTATAGTTAGTTTATTTTCCAATGTTTCTTAAGTTCATCATTATTATTTGATTGACTATTTCAACTCAAATTTATTCGGTAGTTTCAAAATTCTACATAGAATATAATTATTAATAAACACCCATGGTTTAATCACTAGTTATTCAAATAAACGTTCAGAGGTATAAATATCAATCGTAACTTTTCTTTTTAGTTAAGGTTTCTATTAATTTTCCCATTAAAATATCATCGTTCTAAGAGTATCTGACAGTAACATCATTTTAAGTATCAAATAAAAGTTACGTATTAAAATAATTCATCATAAAGTCTACTTAGAGTAAGTCATTATTGAATTTAGGAATACAGTTTGTTTATAACGACTTGAATGAAACTTTATAGGGCTTATTTGCTTTATATGTTTCACGATGTCTATTGTAGCTGTGCAATATCTTTGTACCTCAAAGGGTAAACAGTGAATTAGACGAGACATTTAAAGATTTCTTTAACGCTAAAACTAAACCAAAAAATATCTGAACACATTTATTTTTATTTGATTTAACCAAGACGTGATCTGGTTATATATGTTTATATTATTTCTATGTTAATTCTTTCTTTGAAGGATAATTTCAGTGGTATTGATTTAATTTATATTTTGGTAATAACTATTGCTGTTATCTGACCGATTATTTTCATTCTTAATTCTCCTACTTTGTTACGTGTCTCAAAGTCATTGCAAGGTAATAGCTAGTCTGAGGATTTAGATATAAATTTTCAACTATCATGAAAGTCCCGTTTTCTGTACCGAACATTAACAAGTGGATAATTGATGTTGGATAGCTAGTGTGTCAGACACCCAATCTGTTCGAGTTCATATTCTATATTGTTTTGTATTAGACGATTCTTAATTGCCTGTGGATAGTATTTATGCTAGACCAACGGGAATCTAAAACCTAGTACTTTTATCATGATATAACAGATTTACACCGATTAGTGGTCAGATTCGTACAAACCAAACTGAATAGTACTTGATATTGACTAATACATTAATATAGTAACATGAAATTAAAACACCTTTATAAGTGGTTAGCCTCAAGTGTACAGCCAAACTAACGATGTAGGAAAATGTTCTTGTCTTTGCCGTCTTACGTTTAGCTGAAACCATTAATACTTCAGGATAGGTCGATTGTAGTCTTTAATTTTACCGTATAACTCATATATGTCCTTTTTCTTAAAATGAGATTACAAGTCATGCATGGTTGTGAAAAGTCAATTTTGTATATCACTTGCTCTCCGACCGATTAAGTCCTTGCTCATCACGTAAATATCATGCAAAACTAGAGAGGTTTTGGCGTTTCAGTTAATACAATAGTTTTAATGCATTTTAGCAAACGAAATGCTATAAAAGTAGAATGAACTTACTTGGATTTGGTAGTTGGATTGTTATGCTAGCAGTTGACTGAATAAGCTCTAAATGTGGGAGATGCTCACTTAATTCATTTGTAGCTATTACACTCAATATAATTGATTTACCCAAATTCAACCCAATTAGAACGAGGCTAAAATCAGATAAAAATAACATTTATTTGATTATGTTTTTCAACTTGTCTTCTTACATGCAATAAGTTATAAAATACAACTGTTGTATCTAAAGAATTACTAAGGAAATGTTAGTGTCGCACAAACAGTTGGGCCTGGTCAAAGACATTACATTAGCTTATAATTATGCTAACAACAAGGGCTGACCTTTATATCTACAGTACATTTTCAAGTGCTTCTTGATTCTACTTATTTTTTAAATTATTATAAACTGTCTTTAAAACTATTCATGATTGAATCAAGCCATTTAAAATCATTTAATTTTTATTCTCGCTTTTGTCAATGGTTGAATAAATTATTTGAATAGATGATTGCTGAGAGATAATTTTGATGACAATATATAAATTCTGCTGTTAAAATAACATTCTAAAAGGTTGATATTTTCTATGCATGGAGTTTCCATGGATTTGTTGCAGAAAAAATAGTTTTTTTGAAAACTTTAGAAGAACAGTATTTAAAGTTGGACACCACTTTGCGTTGCATTACTGATGTGTTTTTTTATAACAAAAAATATGTACTTTACCCTTAAGTATCTTTAGAAAAAGACGAAATATAATTCGTCTCGTTTATTTCTAGCCTATTTAGTATTATTTGTTAATGATTTTAGCATTACAATTAGTGGTGATGCTTAAACTAAACTATATGATAAATTTTAACAATTTTGAGACTTTAACTTCACCTTATCATGCTTTCTAATGTATCAGTTCAATAACAACTTTCTGAATATCATCGGAGATGGCTGGTGGACATTTATTCACCTTTAATTCATTTTTACATTGTTTGTTTGAATCTTGATATTGATATTTACGTCTGTAATTGATCAGTCTCTTATTGGCATATGTGTATCCTGTGTGGATTACTTCGATATTATCTTAAACCACAAGCATTATAATCAAAGATGGATAGTGGCTAGCAGCGGAATCCACGATGCGCGCCACATCGTCCTATTTAGAACTCGTCAGACGAATGTACCTGCATCTCAGAATTAAATTTCATTCCGGGACTTGAACTCAGCATCCTTGGCTTCAAATGCCGTCGGGTTATCAACTTAGCTACTGAGTCCTGATAGCCACTTGCTTATGCATTGGAGTGAAATTTTAGTTCATTTTTATATTGTTTGTCTGAATCAATCCATTGGTGTTTAGGACTTCAACTGATCAGTCTCTTAGTGAATAGTGCGATGGCATTTGAAGCGAACGATACTGAGTTTTAGTCCCACAGTAAATATCAACCCTGGGATTCAGGTACATCCATCTGACGAGTCCAAAATATGACTAAGTGGCGCGCATAGTGGATTTCACTATTAACCATCGTCTATTTATTAATATTGTATTTCACTATCATTAGGTGAAGTGGTTCGGCAAAATTATGGTTATGAATGTAATTAGTTTTATATTCTCCAACTTACTTTTAATACGCTTTAATATAAGCATCAATCAATTTCTTTGGTCACCTGGCCTATTAAAGAAAAGTGTCATTTTTAATTAGACCTCAAATTTTTCTTGTGACTGAAGCATCAGCCTTTTGTATTAAACAACATATGTTGTAGAGTAAAAAGAAGTAGTTTCAGCCTTTCACACTCCAATCTTGGTTTTAGAAAGGATACGACAATTTAACACACTTTCTTACTTTAACGTTTCTGTAATAAGCAATTATAGGATTCAATAACACAGTTTGGGGAGTTTGATCTAATTTACTAGTAGTTTTCGCCATGAACTGATATGATATGTACAACACTGAAAACTAGTCTAGGTAGCTATTTATTTTATATAGAGTCAATTTGTTTTTAAAAAGTGGTTGATTAGGGTAACAAGAAGAAATTTCTGATGAAAAAACGGTTTAATATTTGGTTATATTTGGATAAATCGATAATTCACGTCAAAAGAAAAAAAGTAAACATATTTCAATGGTTGAGATCATGAGTCAATTGAAGCTACATCACCATGGAAAACCTGGAGGCACTGGACGGCCGTTTCGTCCTATTTTAGGACTCCTCAGCAATGCGCTTCCACGATCCCACCTCACGAGATTCGATTCAGTCTCGTGCGAGCGCTTAACCACTAGACCACTGAACAATCCAGCAATGTTAATGTCTAACTGATCCACAAATTGAGCAACATATCCACCATTGTCTCCAGTGGGTTACTGTCTCAAAACTGATCCGGCTGAACTCCACTGGTCACATATTTACCTACACAATAAGAAAAAGTAGTATCTACTACTCCAAAAACCGTTAATAGTTTTTTTCTAAATTTTTTTATACGTAATCCTTTTATTACCAATGTCACTGATTTACGTTGATTTTTTAAGTTAACTTTATAAAACACTGTGCTTACAAATAAATGTTCCTTCTTAATTTAAATGTTCATTTATAATCATTTTAAAGTCAAAATAAATAAACAAGTAAACATCTATTTTTAATCTACTTTCGTTTTCGAGTGTGTGTGCGTGTTATTTGTTTTTTCTTTTCAAAAGTTACAATTATTTTCTTTTCCTGTCATGATATTTTAAAATACACTAAATAGACATCTAAAGTAAGTTTATAAAAGATGAAGAAGAAGAATTAGAAAAAAATTACGATAAAATTGTCCTTAAATAATGCCAAAATTAAACAACAATCATTGTCATAAAGAAAATTATATACGAAAGCTTCTGTTGTTGGTTAATTTTACTCGAAGTAATTGTTTAGTATACTTAGAGATAAAAATAAACTCTAATAATATATCAATATAATAAGTCTATTGTGGATTGTAATAAAATAGAGAATAGTTATTATTTATAGTTTTAACTTATAAGCTTGATATTATCTAATTTCCAATTTTGTCCCCATTATCATTCGAAACGAATACACTACTGTTTGGGCTCCAAAAGTACGTCAAATAAAAACCCTAGACATTTATAATTCATTTATATCAAACAACTTAGATTTTTAGTCAGCTAACTAACAATCATTCATAACAGTAATTCTTAGAATCTTGAATGTTATTTTAATGAATTACAGTGATCTTATTGTAAACGGTTTGAAATTATACAGACAATCAGGCACTGACTTAGCTAATCATGGATTAAGCATCGATGAGGCCAGATAGATGTTTTTGTATGTGTAACTAATCTCCTTCAACTTAAATCCCTAATTGTCCAGATTTGCAATGCAGTCATCAGATTCTCTATCATACTAGTTCTTTTGACAATGTGTTTTACTTTCAACTTGGTGCTCAGTTCTCTTTTATGAAGCCTAATGAAATACCTTAAGCTCCACAGTTCACTTGATGCTATTATTACAGTTTGTGCAATATAACATTTTGTACTGTATCCACATAATCTTGGCGTAACTCCTCATAAATCTTTTTTGTTACGGAATTACTACAAACATGTATAACATCTTGTTCATACGAATCACATTTTAATCTCCAATAAAGTGATTCTGGATTACAAACTGTAAAACGTGAAGAAAATATTATTGGTGGCAAATATTACTTGCAGTTAAATATTCGGTGGAAATCTTAGAATTAAAATACTTTTTCTAAGAACCTAAGCTTAGATACTTAAATGATATGCAAGTGTTTTTCAATTCCTGTCTTATCAATTAATAAAAACCCTCCAATTAGTCAAAGTAAACTAAGAACTCGAGAATAGAGGTCAGTCACTAAGTTGAGTACATTCGGATTATTCTTCTGTAAACTGAGGGTTATAAGAAAGTATAGTATAGTTTACAACATCTTTGATAAAGTTATATCTCTAATAAAACTTTTCTTAGACATAACCATTCAAGAGTCACCAGGTTTTTCGGGAACTACAAACATTATCTTATGTTTTTGTGACTAAGAAGCTTCCTCAAAAAAACACACCAGTTCTTTGATTAATTAAAATGTAAGTAGTTATTTAGTGAGTTGTTTTAATAATCTCAGAAGCAAAATCCATAGTTCCTATTGGACAATATTTATAGAATAAGCCCATGGGTATATTATATTATATTTTTGTGTATTGATATATAGAGTAAAAATGAACCTAAGATTAATTGCTTAATATAGTTTGCTAATTGGTAGTCAGTTATAACTAGTTTGATCGATAAATATTTATTCAACATTTATTATTCACTTATCACTACTCTATAAAAAGTATATAATCAAATCATATCATCAGTTTCATAAAGTAAGGTTAAGTAGGCGTTGCTATGCAATGTTTATTCAAAATTATATTCAATAAGAGCTCCTAGATGATAATAGTTATCTAATGAATGACTTGTAAGTGATATAAAGAAAATTTAATCAATTTTTTACATATACTACTGTAATTAAGATACTATGAACATTCATAAATTTAATGAAATTTTGGTTATTTTTAAATTATCTGATCATATTATTCAATATTAGTCAATTAGATATGTGGGTAGTTATTCTGATTTGGTCTTTATTTACTTTACTTAATACTCAAAAACCAAAGTATAGTTATATAAACTAAGTATTCTTAGCGATATTTCAGAGATTTTCTATTACATTCATTAAACAATAATGTGGATGTGAATGTCAGCAAAACTACTTCATTCATGTGGAAAGTGAAATTTATGTAGAATTCTTTCGTAACCATTAGCTAGAGTGATAGAGTGATAGGAACTTTAAAGGACATGTAAAAAAATGTTAATCAGATATAAATAGATCATTGATCATATTATTATATTTCGATCGGGCCAATATTGCATTCGACTAATGATGAAAATAGGTTACGCTTACATTTAATACTATAATAGAAAACAAAATAGACTTATTATATACAAGGATAAGATATTTTTAATGACCTTACTTTGAACCCTAACAATGAATGTGTTCACAAGGATTATTATTTTATATTCACGTTGCTGACTAGTCACAGATGTACTTTAATGGGTTTAACCTATTTATTTTTATTTAAGTCAATATATAGGTATATATATAATGCAACATCCAAAATCCGATAAAAATCTTAGGATAGAAAAACTAAACCGATTTATTGAACTAGGTCTTTATCTTGAATTTGTTACTTTCTACTTCAAAATATTCTTATCAATCTAAATTTGTAATGAATCAGTATTGAACTTACATATTAAGACACCTCTAGGCACTCATCGGTAGTTCATACTTATAACTTTCTAAGATAGTACTACTCATTCTAAAATATATCTAGCTGTGGTCTATTGACACATATTTTGACATGAGTCAGTTCTGAACTGATAGAATATCTAAATAATTCAATTCTCTTGGCAATATCGGATTATAGGAGAACTATAGAGAAACATCAAAATTTAATATGACTATTCGATACGTTGAGCATTTCGATGTTATTGAAATTTATCCAACATTTTGTATTTGAAAATTTTTAAATACTTTTGCTGTTATCTTTTTTATCCTCACAAATCTATGGTCTATGAAGTATTATGTCAAAAAAGTACTTTTCATTTACCTTGTCATCAGAGTCGGAACTGTTGGTACAACCGTAAGATGGGGTGAACATGACTGGTTCGGTATCTCTAAACAGTTTATTATATACCAGACATGAGCTCGACCTCCGGTATCTAATGGTTCATTCCAGAACAGCTGTACCCTTGCTGGGTCGCTTAGGTTGACAGTTACGTTTCTTGGTGCCGATGGAATTTCTACAAAGTGTAAATTAAAAAAGTTAGATTCTACCAAAAAAAAATACGCAATCAAACCAAGTAAATAGATTTCATTATTTTTGATGATTTAATTTCTTCACGAAGATGATATTCGTTATCACTGTAACAACTACAAATTAACCGATGTTGAGAGTGTACTATAAGTTAAGCAGGGCTCACATATATAAAGTAAATTGGCACTAGTGAAACACTTCTCATCACCATATGAAAGAGGTATTACTATGCCTAAAAAACAAGACCCACACAAAACTATCTGCTGATTGAAATTTTCATGTAAAGTGATAATAAGCGACAAAATAATGATATGTTGAATTTATGTTTGAGACTAATTTAGAATTACTGAAAAGTTCTCTTTAGAATGAAGGTTGTGCCTTTTATCGGAAATTATTATTATTCACTTTATTAATTTCATATACTCTATTAGGATGTTTGGAACTGAAATATTAATTAACAATTGTGTTCATGATAATCGAATAAAGACGGAAATACTGTGAAGTAACTAAAAAAACACGATCATTTCTTGTCACGTAATCTAGTAATTAGGATTACTAATAGGGTTATGTTTTTTTTTCAAAATGGGAAATATGAAAGCTATTGATGATATTTAAACATCTTGGTTAAAGAAATTAAAAGAAAAGATTTTTCAAACTATACAGGAATGATATTATTATTGTTGCGTGATAAATTATTGATCATTATTCAAATATTAGAAGTATCCCCTCTAGAAGGAGTGTATTCAATGCTCAGTTGATAATTGAATTATTATCGAATACTTGTTCAGATCATGTAATCATAATAGAAGTATTATAAAACACAGGATAAATTACTATCCAATTGAAATGCAAGAAATGGTCTGTGGCAGAATAACGGGTCAATCTATGCTCATTAAAGTGCACGACTAAATTGTTCATATATCAACACAAGAAAGAAGATAAATTAACCCTCATTTATTCAGAATTTTTCCTAAAAAACTTTAATATCGGACACAGTGAAAACATGAATACAACTGACAAATAGGGAATGAAACACTTCCTTATAATGAAAGTGAATAAAATCTAAACAGGGACCTAAAAGTGTGTTGATTATAACAAACTGAAAGTTAGTCAACTGAACAAAAGTGAGTCTAAAAGAAAGCGGTAAGTGTAATGTTTTGATTAGTAGTACAAGTATTCATTTAATTTATATTTGTTCCTGTCTTGTTTCTGCAAAATACTCAAATAATTTTTCATCTACCGAAGCTGCTTACCTTTGTCATTGACATAAACAATATGAGACAGATAAAACTTTGATTTAACCACTTCCACTAATCTAACTTCTGAATTTCCACCATTTGAGATGTCTTTCTTCAAAAGCTAAACTTAATACAAAATGTGCGAATTAATCAAAGGCACATGACGAACAATCTAAGATAATTATTATGATGGAAGATTGTGGAATTATTCGATGTACAACAAAGACTGGCTTTAACTGGACAAACTACGAGAACCAATAAGAGTTCAACAGTTGTACCAATATAAAAAGACTCGATTTTAGTAATAATCGAAAAATCAGCTGATAGTCCAATACAAATAGCTTTTTTAATTATTAATATCATCATTGCTAAATTTATAGCCAGATGAAGAGAATCCATGAAGTATATAAATTTCTAGTATTCTGAAAGAATAATTTTTCTTGTTTCACTGTGATCTCGAAAATGTCGATGATGCTTTTATACGATCAGCCGCTCAGTGTCATTTACTCAATTACAACAGTCGAACTGATAAATTCACGTAGATAAATTATATTACCATAGTTTGTATTTATTCCTTGAAATGAGGTTGGAAAGTAAAGAGTATAGACTTATTGTAGTGGAAGAATCTTCAAGGTTTTAGGATACTTCGTGTCACGATCTTGCTGATAATTTCACTTCCGAGCTCTATTTCCAAATACAGAAGTGATATAAAGACTCGTCATTCAAAACTTATTGTCTACCATAATCGTAAATTCTGTTAGAGATCTCTTTGAATACATATTCATGCCACGTCAAATATTGCATCTGCCAATCCCCAAAAATATAGCATACTCTTGTGTTAAGATTTTACATCAAGTGTTTTTTTTTATATCAAAGGTATATGATATGATTTTGTTATACTACGTTATTGAAACTTAAAAATCATTTCATCAAATATGATATAATTACACTAGCTGTTTTAATAACAGATTCCCTTTTTCCTTTAAATCATCATACGAATTACGCATATTTTCTCTCATCCAGTAGGACAAATCGACTGAAGTAATTACTATCAGAAAAAGGTTTTGTGGAGATTGTAATAATTTAATAGTCAGATTCATGGGTCGATTGAAACTAGACAATCTTGGAAAACCTGGAATCACTGGACGGCTGTTTCGTCCTAGTATGGGACCCCTAACAATGCGCGTGTCGGGTAGCGACAAGTACTACCTCAGACAATGGATGAATGGTTGCGCAACTACTCATGGATTAATACCGTTGAATGCTGGCTCAGTGGTCCAGAGGTTAAGCGCACTAACTCTAGACCGAAGGTCCTGGGTTCAAATCCCATGTGTGGGAATATGGATGCGCATTTCTAAAGAGTCCCGTACTAGGACGAAACAGTCGTCCAGTGCTTTGAGGTTTTCATTGGTAGTCTCGAAATACATAGCAAAATGAAATTTCTTTATTATTATTTTTCCTGAAATAAGTAAATACTTAACTATGCGTTTAGCATGATTTATTTTGCAAATGAACTCTGAGCTAACTGATACATTAATCGTTTGATAGAGTGATGAGTTGAGTAAATTATTTATTTATTAATAACATCAGCAAACATCAGTTTAGAATCCTAATTACATTGTTATTTTAATATGTACAATTCATCAGTATATAATTATCAAAGTTCTAATATCATGAAAATAATAAACAAAGTATACAAGGGATAGAGAAAATCTTGTTTCTTCAATACTTTTATAGAATGTCAATAAACAGTTTTATTTATAAACATTTTTGAGTATATAAATTACCTTGCACATGATTTACATTTGTTTATACTAGCATGAACAATTGCAACTACAAGAAATATTAGCAATCGTGAGTATAGAAGATGTGCTATATAAAGTTTTATGAAAGATATTTTAAGATATCCCGATGTGTTAATAGTCCTGTTAAACGTTTTTACTTTCTCGGCTGTTGTACACATAAGAACGATTGGAAACAAGTATATGAAACTCAAGGAGAATAAAAGTGAATACAAAAAATATTCTTTTGATCATGAGATATGCTTTAAACCAATTAGGAAAAAAATCTTACTTGTACAAGATGAATCTGGTCTATCTAATACTGGATGACGATAGTAACCGGCATCACATACACAACTATCTACTTCATTAAGACTTGATTCATTATATATTGAAGCTTTAGATCTATAGGTTAACATATTGAAACGTTGTATACTACGACTTGTTAATGTGTGAAAAGGATTATGAGAGTTTAATGGACAACGTTGACATGCAAATGGTCCAAATGTTGGTTTGAAGTAATCTAATCCACAAGCTGAAAAGTAATAATAAATATACTGATATTTAATAAAGCAAACATCATGTAACGTGTTTCTAATCTCAGCTTATAAATGCAAGATAAATATTTATCTAGAAAGTTCTGTCTTACTCAGATCATACAATGCTCACCATGATAGCAAGATTATAAAAAATAATAAATCGACATTGATAACAACAATTGTTTAGAACCATAATACACAATTTTAAAGTGTTTTTTCCACTGATTCGAATTACTTTAATGAAACAAATAATAAACTTACGCTCACATAATTGATCCATTAAATTATCTTCATTCAGTACACCAAAACCAGGCATGCATTCACATGGTCTGTCTAAATGATTTAAAAAGTTGTTTTTAGATAAACTATCAAAATCTTTTCCCCCACCAGAATGAAAAGATTTTATTGCTTCATAATACCATATTCCATCTGTTTGACAAATTAACTTAGGTATTTCTCTATGATTGAGTAATGCTGCACCACTGATACAACGACCATCTATAGTTAAACCTTCCATTATTTTCCCGAGATAGTTCGAGGATATTCAATAAAATTTTTTCTGATAAATGGACAAACTACAAAACCTAGGCGTACTCGTCGTATTGTTGAACATGATCCACGATCTCTTACAGCTATTTGAATGTTATCATTTTGTACATTAAATCTACTGATATGTACAGTAACTTGTTCTGAAGATGAATCAGGTAAATTATTTTTATTTTGATTAGAAATATTCCATCCAATAAGAAATTCTTCTGTGAATAAATCATGTTTTGGCTTTTGTGATGTGGTTAATGTAGCCAATTTAATGAATAAATTTTGTCTAAAACCGAAAAATTCAAAAATGCAGTAATTGTGATGGAAGTTAGATAATAAGTAAATTCAATATTTACGGATTAACATTTGACTATTTAATCTAAGCTATGTGAATTATGTCGTTAAAAACAGCTACGGTTAATAATATATATATAATATATTGTCTAAATGGTATTTTATTTAAGTTAAAGCCAAGTAAATACTTTATTGCTGGTAATAATTCCAAATTGTAATTGATTTATACTGTAGATGCTAATGAATATCAATGAGAACTAGATAATCCTATAGTAAAGCAAACAATAATTAAATGAACATAATGTTGACTAATTTATTCAAAAACACAAATCACTGAAAAGGAGTATTTAAGAAATGATTAAATAGAGTAGAAAATACCAATCATATGAGATAATACTGATCCATTTGAGATAAACTTATTGAACTTAGCTAACATTGATAGAATGTTAAAAAGAATAAAAGTCATATACCATTGATTGTATAAACTTTATAAGTTTATCAACAAATTTATTCACATTTTATTCATTTTTTGTGAATTCTCTTAAAGATTCCAACAGATTTATTCTTTCTTAAATAATTCCAAAGTTCATAAGACTCATTCATCTAACAGTTGATTTCTCAACTCTTATTACTTGACATTTATGTCAAAAGACACTATAGTTAATTCTACAACAACTAGTTTCTTCCATCAGTTTAAGTAGTATAATAAAAAGATGATGTTGATCATAAACATGTGACTGCCCTATAAATTTTCAACAACCTGATCATAATTTTAATAGTTGAGATCATGAGTCAATTAAAGCAAGACTAACATGAAAAACCTGGAAGCCCTGGAAGGCCATTTTGTCCTATTGCGGGACTCCTCAGAAGTTCGCGTCCACGATCCCGCCTCGCGAGATTTGAACCCAGGACTTATCCGTCTCACGCGCGAGCGCTTAACCATTAGACCATTGAGCTAGCATACAACAGTATTAATGTCTAACTTCGACTAATCCACGAAATTGAGAGACACATATACCATTGTATTCGTGGACGCACACTGCTGAGAAGCTCCAGCGTAGAACGAAATGGCTGTCCAGTGCTTCTAGGTTTTCCATGGTGGTCTAGCTTCAATTGACTCGTGATCTCAACTAATAAAATTACTATGATATCCACAAAACCCCTTCTGATATTAATCTGATCATAATTATATGCTTATGGTAGTATTTATATCTAAAAGCCTAATGAAGGTCAACCAAAATAAAAGGTAAGGAGAAAATTTTATAAAATGAAAAAAAGTTATCACACCCTGAACATTCAAATTCATTAATGATTTCCAGAATAGAACCAAGGTTATAACAATTCATTTTTGTACACTTAATTAAGGATTGAGTCCCTTTGTAACTAGGAATTTTATACTTGAATTTGTTATTCACAATTTTAAACAGTTTTTTAAAAGTCAACCCAATGACTATTTAATTGTGTATTTTATTATCAAGGAGCATGAATAATTGCTCCTTATGCTCAAAAGGTCATTTGGGAGTAACCGATCATTAACTGATTTTAGCATATATTCTATTATTTTGAATGTATAATCTGATAAGTCCTTCCTATATGTATCCACACACATGTTAACAAAGACACTAGTACTAATTAATTTTGATTACAATCATTTGTGAAATTATATTAGAAGTATAATTACTACTAGCTTTCACAAAATTTACATGTTTATAGGTGCAAATTTATGAAGTTTAAAGTTGAACAACACATTTTCTTTGATTTCAAACAAAATAAATATTTTATAAGGCTCAGTTACATCTAAATTTTCAAATCAACTTCACCTTCTCACTGCACTATCGAAATTACTAGTAAGTTTGTAGTTGTGTTCTAATTCTATCACTTACAATGTATCATAAATACGCTACACTCATCATCGCTTTTGGTTTGGTGTATGACGAGATCTCAGCACGGGTACAGAAGGCTCGACTTAGCTTTTGCTTACTTGCGTCATTTGTGGTGTAGGCGAGATATCCGTCTACCAACCAAAGGACGAGTTTACTGTGCAGCTGTTCGTTCCGTCCTACTTTATGGCAGTGAAACATGGCCGGTAAGAGTAGGGGATATTTGTAGGTTACTAGTATTCGATCATAGGTGTTTTCGAAATATTGCTCGTATATCCTGGGACCACCGAGTAAGTAATGCAGTTGTTAGGAAACGGGTACTAGGTTAGGATGGAAAATCAATTGATGAAGTAGTGAAACTTCATCAGTTGAGATGGCTGGGGCATGTGTTACGTATGCCCAACTACCGACTGCCCCGACGTACGATTTTTTATGGTGTAGGGGTAGGTTGGAAGAAAGCTAGGGGCGGCCAAACCAAAACATGGCACAAATCCATGAAGTCACCGACAAGTGAACTGAGCCATGTTGGTAGGTGTAGACTACCTGGTTGGGATTCGCTGGACGATAGCAACCGATGGTTAGAGACCTTGAATGATATAGCTCAAAATCGTTTGCAATGGCGCAGGTGCATCCACCCTTTGTGTTCTCCTAAATTTTAATCTTCTGAACTTCCCTTGTCTCTTTTTTTCTTTTTCCAGATTTATTTCACTGAATTATACTCCTTGACTAACATCTTCAAACCTCAATGTTTGCGATTATTGCTTATACTTTTATTACCTCTACCACTAGGAATTCAATCGATAATTGTACTTCTATGATAATGTGGCATGATAAATGGAACTGATCTACGTACATACGAAGTTGTACGTTGTTACTGACTGACTGACCATAAAATTAAACTTCAGAAAACACTTCTTAATCTAATTACTGCTTCTCTTATTACGATTTTTTCATAAGATTTTATAACATTTCAATCATTATCTAACTTAGTAGATACAAATTTTCTTACGTAGTTAGGTACTTCTGATACAGACTAGTTCAAACAAGTTCTAGAGTCATAACATTTTGTCACATCAGAGAGGGTAGACCAGATTCAAAACTAGACATTTTAAGATTCCTGATGTACTTTTCCAACATCCGAAGAAAGTTTCGTAACTACTTAAGGAACGAACATCGTTTTGTCAGTTACATTTGTAAAATAAACGTTTTCGCGACATGTAGTAAGTTTATCTCTGTTTTAACTTCATCTTCAACATAAATGTTGTACATTTTAATGAATGCTTACGAACTAAAATATCGAAAGATGAATTTAACTGAGAGATTTTCACAAAAATTTTGTTATTGACTTACGTTTGGTTGACATTCTTATCATTTGATGTCGTTACATCGACCTGATGTAAAAAAAGTTCCAATACCTCTTGGCAATGCTGTAACACTTCTGAATTCGGATGTTCACTACATTCTCTAATGGTAAAAGTAATTTCGATAGTAATACTTTTTGCTTCGTTGACATAAACTAATGGACTGTACAACCAATTATCATTGTGTTCCTGAGCTATCTGACACACACCATAAATTTTTCTTTGTAAAATTGGGTGCGTTTGTTGACGCCACTAAAACATAACAAATAAATACGTTAAAGTAGAACAAAATAGATGTTAAAATTCTATCACAGTATGGCATTAAAATAATGTAGACGCTTAATGCGTAGAGAAAAAGTAATAAACTTTACTGTTTATCCTTGTTTATTCCACTAATTTGTCTCATTACTCATGTTTTTATTCAATGGGACCAAAAGAAGTACTGTAATGGTAGAAATTATTATTTATGTTATGAACAGAAGCAAGATAGATAGAGATAAGAAATCGATTATAATTAGTTTTGGTTCTGGAGCGAGCTATTGAATAAACCCGTGTTCTCGAGCTTATAGTTCTTTTTTTAATGTTCAATTCAATGTTTATTTTAAATGTTAAATCCGGAATGATGACGAGTGAAATTTGTCAGGAGAATGGCTATAGAATAACTAGGATAATTCGAGTATGTTTTCACGTAAGTGGAAGAACTTATTAAAATGTATGGAAAAATGCTTCCATTCCAGGCACTATAAGATTTAACTGACTGTACAAGTCGTCTTACCCCTTTATAGATTATGCATAATTTACAGCTTACAATAAAGACTTACATTGACATAATATTACAACAGCTCTAGTTTAAAGAGGTAAAAGTTACTTCTTATTTCAAAGTTCAGTTTTTAGATGAACGTTGTTAATTGCTTGACATGACGTTTCAAAATACATCTTGAAAAACATTTCCCCTTTATAATAACATATAGTTCTATCTCTACAATGGTTAGTTGTATTAGTGCAAGAATTAACCAAATTCTACCAACTTACTAAATACTCTCATTTCTGTTAGTTTGTTTAAATTGTTCATGACATAATTTAAAGTAAACCTAGCATTTCCTTTATCTGATTGTAAGTATTTTCATTCAAAGACTATATCAGAATAGAAAACTTATTAGCTTTACCACTTTAGTTTGGTTACACAGTTCAACACAATCTTTATGCAAACAGTTCTGTTGTATTGCAAGGATTTAAATGAAATTGATGACAACAACACTAACGAATTTTATTAATTTTTCAGAATGTGTTTTGTGGAGATTTTAGAAATTTCACTGATCGAAATCATGAGTCAATTGAAGCTAGACCACCATGGAAAGCCTGGAAGCACTGGACGGCCGTTTCGCCCTAGTATGGGACTCCTCAGCAGTGCGCATCCACGATCCCGCCCCCGCGAGGTTCGGACCCAGGACCTATCAGCCTCGCGCCAGGCGCTTAACCAACTAGACCACTGAGCCGGCATCCAATGGTGTTAATATCTAACTCCAACCAACCCATGAAGTTACGCCACCGTACACCATTGTCTTCAGTGAGTTCCTATCTTACAACAGACCTGGTTGAACTCCACTGGTAACGGCTTTACACTAGAACTCCAGGATTATCTCCTGAAGTCAGTCACTAGTGAGCAGGTGATTATTATCGATTAATTTAGTTGTTAATTTATATTTTAGTTAATTGTTACTAACTAACTCATACAGATATAATTGAAAATCACTATGAAGTACTATAAGCCAATAGAAGTATTTTTCTCATGCATCTTTTAGCAAAATAAGAAAAAAATACATCATAAGTATCTCAAGGACAACACCTAAAGAATGAATTTAACTGTTTTATTTCAACAAGAAAAACAATGTAGAAGAGAAACAATTAGACGTTTATTAAGGAATTATGTAGTTCCATAGACTATGAGTTCGTTAAAAATAAATAGAATTTTAATGATCATTGAAAAGAAATCAAAATCTAAATGTTTAGTCTAATTAACTTACATGTTAAGAGATAAAACATTGAATCAAAGTATATAATTACGTTTGTAATTTCTTTCTGAAAGTTTGATTTCAATTAAGTTTTAAAATAACATGCTTGTTAATTACAATGTCTAAGGAGGAACATCGTTTTGCATTTCTTTAGTTCAAAATATTTACATCCATTAGATAAAAAGCTTTAAACTTGGCTACCATGATATTTAGATCCTTTCAACAAGATTTGTTTTGATCAAGATCATGAACCAATTGATGTTAGACCATTATTGAAAACCTGAATGCACTGAACGCTGTTTCATCCTATTGTGGGACTCCTCAGCAGTGCGCATTCACGATCCCGCTCGTGGGGTTTGAACCCAAGGCCTTCAGTCTTGCGCGCGATTGGTGGTGGTCTAACATCAATCGTATCATGATCTTAATCAAAAGCTTAATAGTCTCCACAACCTTTATACAGATTTGTTTTTTTTAACAATAAATTTCATGATTACTCAAAAACTAAGCATTATATAAACATTGTATTAACAAAACTTGATGAACATTGATGAGAAAAAGAATTCATTATAAATTATATCCCTATAGTTTCTGTCGAATAACTTTAAATATGTTGCATCAGATAATCAATGTAACACTGGCAAAATATGACTCTAATTGATCTGTCCTCCAGAGAAAGAATTCAATATGTTCATTTAAACAAATTACCAGAGTGGCTATTTGATTTAGACGTTGTAAATAGCTAACTTTATTTATTATGATCTATATATGCCCTAGAGATTATCACCCTAGATACGTGAATAAGCTCAATTTTTTTTGTAAAAACAGCATCCTATTTGCTCATATGCAAATAAGGTTATTGAAATACATATGATGTGCTTATTTTAATATTCTCTCTAGTGGATTAAAGATATTACATTATTATTTTCCGAATACATGTGATATTTAAATAATGAAGTAAAACCATTATAAACAATAAAGCAAATTATTTACACTAGACTACCTAGTGTAACAGATGACTGAATAATTTGATATGTTTTAACAGTTTTCTGTTGTCATCTCAAGGAATCAAGCAGTTAGATAAAATGAAAGTGTTTTAGCGAACAAAAAATTTCCTGTGTTTCACAATATATACACATATTGCGTTTTACATTGTCTTAATATAAAATAATTTGCAGACACGGTTAGTAGATATTTTATTGAACAATAAATTTAACTTACTCCTTCATATTTCCCAGTATTTCTTGTCCAGTTACTCCAATCTGTGATGTCTGTATCAAGTAGGATAACTGAAATTATATTAAAAGATATTCATCAGTTTAAGGCATATCACTTTTTATATAAAGAAAAGTAAACGGACAGACTTTAAAAATTAAAATAGCATAAAATAAATTTGTTAATTATCTCAAAATTTTCCATTGTAACTTCATTAATTAACTTGATAAAGCCTAAATTTTCTGTTTCACATTCAATAATGAAAAATATTTAAGGAGTTTATAAACAAATGAAGTCAAACAATAATGTATTACAAATTATATCATTCAGTTAGAAAGTCTTTATTTAACATCATAATTCAAGTATTTATCTAGTTGGAAACGTAATTACTAGTAAAATAAGAATAACTTATCCCTCTTTATAATAGTTGTAGAGTTATGAATTCAGTGATTAACTCAAGGCATTTACTATAGTTTTTATTCTCACTTTTAAAAGTACTGTAGATACTATTGATTTTCGAAATCATTACATTCAGAATTATTGATGAATTTTGTTATAATGTCAATCATAATATTTTCCTTCGAGTTTGACCTAATTACAAATACAAGGTTAGAAACAAAATTCATATCTATGTTAACTTAGCTTTGAATTTTGTTTCACTAGGTTATGATTTTGCTATTATTACTATAATTATTATTATACAGTGGAACGCCTCATATTATAGTTGAATTGAATAGTGAAAATAATTGATGTATTTTAAAGTCCTTATAAACAATAATAGTAACATTTGAATAAAGCCATTCTCACTGATTATTTTTTCTTATAGTATATTTCAGTTAATAAAGAAAGATGGATAGGGGCTAGCAGTGTGTTTCGCATTCCAAAGTTGATGTTCACTCTGTGACTCAAACACAGTATTTTTCGCTTCAAACGTCATCGCGTTATTCACTTAGCTACTGAGTCATGATAGCCATTTGCTTTTGCAATGAGATAAAGTTTAAATTAACTTTGTATTGTTTGTTTGAATCTTGGTTTGTCACAATTCATTTTTATCTAAAATTCTATTTGCTTGGGAATGGCATTTGCTTCTAATTATCTTTTTCTATAAACTTTCAGTTTTTAATCATTGTAAATGGAAGGGAATTTTTATTTACATGCTTATATTAATTGGTGTGTCTAGAGATTTTACTGAACTTTCGTTATGTTTACTACTCTTTCAATACTTAAGTTGTACTGATAGCTGAAATCCATGAATTACTTGTTTTAGTCGCATTAAGATTTTTGTTACCAGTTGTGTACCATTCTTGATAATCACACAATAAAAGTAACATTTCTAAAAGAAACTGTTTTTAAAACCTATAAAAATCAGATTCTTTGTAAGCGTATTTACATTTGATTAAATAATATTTATATGCCCATATAGCCAATTCTATATCAAGTTTTCCTTTAGGTCGAATAAAGTGTCAAGCTTAAAACATCTGGTTTCAATACAGTAAAAATTATCTTTCACTTTAACTGTGAAGAGTTGGCAATAATTTCAAAAAGCATCGTTTTTGCTAGGATAGAGAGAATTATTTGGTGGAAGCGGATTCATTTTATTTTGACTCAAGCTTCTATATTATTGACATAAAACTTATATATCTTGATTACATTTCGGTTATAGATTTCCAGTTGAACTACTAAGGATTATTAAACTAAGATAGAGGTAGATGTCTAATTCTCTTCAATTATCCATAGTTTTGCATTTAGTGTAACGCAGTATTTAAAATTGATTACTTTTCGTAATAAGTGAATAGTTAATATAAACAAAAGAATAAAATAATGAAGATGTATGATAGCAGAGTATACATTCTTCTCTAATGCGAAAATCAGCTATTATTTATGTTTCATTTATAAGCAGATCCATTACATAGAAAGTGCTGATTGTTTCTTTAAAATCTTTTTACTAAATCATTAATATTAATATGACGCGATATTTATAAGGATGTGTAAATTAAATATTTATGTTTTATGTATATGTATATATGAGATAAATATAAGAAATATACATCGTTCTTACTCAAACACTTTAAACCTAATAGCAGTTTGTTTTTTAAATCATAAATATTATCATTAAGTAGTTCGAACATTTTTGGGGTATTAATCTTATGTGATTTCATAAATCAACACTTTATTCGATAGCTAAACACAAAATATATAAACTCTTAGGTAATAGACAGAGTAATATAGTCATGCCTTTAAAATGTTATATGGTTTAATAATATAAACTGTTTACATTATTGAAATAACATATAAATATTTGTACGCCGAGGAAAAACGAACAATTTTTAAGCCAGTGTATGCCACGAGTAATGAAAGGATAAATTCTACATACAACTGTATATTATGGGCAAAGAGGAATGGTGGCTAGCAGTGGAATATAGGACACGTGTTTTGCCTATTTGAGAATCGTCAGCTGGACGTATCTGAATCTTCCTATTGATGTTTAGGACTGCGATTCATCAGTATTTTATTGGCATATGTGCATCATGTTAGATTGCCTAGATATTGTCCTAAGTCACAAGGATTATAAGCAAAGATGGATAGTGGAATCCAGATTTAAACAAACAATACAAATTGAATTCAAATTTCACCCCATTGCAGAAGCAGGTGGCTATCAGGACTCAATAGCTAAGTGGATAACGCGATGACGTTTACAGTGAACGATACAGAGAGTGAGTCTCAGGGTGATCATCAACTTTTGAATGCAGGTACATCTATCCAACGACCACTAAATAGGGCAGAACACGCGTCCTTTCTTCCACTGCCAGCCACCATCGATCTTTGCCTATAATGCTCGTGAATTAAGACAATATGAGACTGATTAACTGAGGTCGTAAGCATCAATGGAAAGATCCAAGCAAAGTGAATTTAACTGTACATTAGTTTTATTTGATGTTTCCTAGATCAAACTCTTGACAACTATATATTTTACCTGGCATACTTCTATTTCATTTTATCAATGATAGAAAATGCTAAACATAATTTTGCCTAACGTCAGTAAATAAATAAGTTCTATCAAAATAAATCACTGTAATATAAAAACTAACTAAAAGTCACTAAAATGATCTCTCAGTAAATCATTTCCAAATTTCTTGTCAATCGCTTGATCATCAAACATTACAGTTGAATCATTCTCAAAGCACATTTGTGTAACATTGAGTCTTAGATTAAACATTATTCGAAATGTTTAATAAAGAAACTAATGAATTACTACGACAAGAATATCGTCAAAATATGTCATTTTTTGCAATAATTTAATGAACATTTCAAAAACAAATTTTCATTGCTACTTAAATAACTACTTAATATTCGGATTCATTTCTAGTCAGCTTCAAAATAATCAATTCATCCAGCTTATTTGAATAAAGTCTTTACCAGGTAAAATGAGTGCCTTATTAAATAATAAAGGATATCTTCATTGGATTTATACTTTTTGAGAGGATTAATCCTATTATGTATACATAAAACATTCAAACATTCAAACCTGGATATATATATGTATATATATATAATTTATTCACATACTAACTGTAAGAATAAAAGTTTTACATATTGAAGCTTTACATTCTTTGATCGTTGATTTAACACAAATCAATGATAGAGAATAAAATAATAACAACAATGGAAACAAGAATAGATGATAAAGATGAAAATGTTTAATCTACCTAAGGAAAATTAGGGATTTTTATCACTTCACAGAGATAATAATAATAATAATTTATCCTCCTAAAAACATTTCTGTGTACATATGGATATTTGTTTTGTATTTGTTCTGATAGCACTTGAAAGTAGAGGATTGATTAACAAGCAAGCATTTCATTCTTCATTTTATTTTAATAATTGAAGGACAGAGTTAATGAATTATGAAATTTATATGGAAATTGAAAGAGATTTTATTGATCGAATGTGTAATGGGAACCGAAGAGCATCTGTACATACCACCAGGAACTGGTGCTTCCTGTCGAATTCGATCTCGTGTCACTTGTCAAAGCAACCGAATTCTCGTTAGTAAAGTGGTCTAGATCATGACAAGGACCATAATAGTCCAAGTGACTTGATAATACGTCTGACAGTTTTTGATGGAAGTTGACAAAGGTAAAAAATATGAACCCTTGGATTCAATTTTCGGGCTACTTGAAACTCGTGAGGAAACTAAGGGATATCATGGGACTAATTCCCGCTCTCAGGGCCACCTGTTGGTTAACAAAAGTTAACTAGAATTCAGTCATAAGGAATGTAATCTATGGTCAATTGACCTAGTAGCTAAACTACAACGTGGTCGTTAGCATTCGAACAGCACTAAAGATGATAGAAACACGACATTGATCGCTACTTAGTGTTAATTCAGTATAAATATTTCAGTTTTACAAGTCAGTTGCAACTCCATTATCTTAACGGTAACATATTCGACTTTGATAATGGCAAGCATACGTTCAAAGCATGAAAGTCTACACGGTTACAAGTGTACATTCTTTATCTACAACTTTTAGCAGCTGTTTTTAGTTCACAATTGATTGATCACTGGGTGGTGATCAATGTCATGCTTGTCTTATTAGTGTAGATCGAATGCTATCGATCATGTTGCAATGTGGCCACCAGTCTAGGTGACACGGGATTGAATTCGCCAGGAAGCACCAGTTCCCTCAAGATTACAGGTACACCTTGCTGACGAGTGCCAAGTAGCACGAAACCCGGGTCCAGGGTTTCCTGTTGACTACCTCCAACCACCATATTAAGCATCTGTACATGCAATCTTTTTCTTCAGCTGCTATAAGATTTCAAACTATATCTTACTTTAGAAACTGAAATTATTGGTAAGATCTTGTTCCCTGACACTTTCAGTTTCAGTGTAACCTAGACTTTTATTGTATTTATCATACAGCAATAAACTATGACATTGCATATAAATCTCAAAGTCATTTGATTACTTTTAATTAGCTTTAAACATCACTTATGTTCGTTAATTATCTGTTGGTCAGATAAAGTCATCTTAACTCAACTTCAGTTTACAATCTACTAAGAATCTATTCAA